GCAAAGGGAGAAACCTTGAGGACAGCTGGGACGCTCGCAATTACCTAGAGCTGCTGCTAAGTCAATCAATATCATGCCCTGCCCCCGTTCGTATCGGCACTAGATACAAGGAAACATTGTACTGGGATAGTAACAAGTTAACAGAAAAGGGCAAACCCCGCGGGCAGTAGCGTCAAGGCGGGTTCAAAAATTGGGTGCAGCAAGTCCTCCCACCGATGAAGAAGTAAACCTAGACCCGAGGAAAACAAAGTCTCGCCTCCCACTTGGAGGCATTTATATCCCCCTATTTTCCGTCCCTTCCCCATAGACACACACTCCCGAGTCACTAAAATGCCCAATCCCTCCCGCCTGGGAAAGCGGGAACACTTCCTACCTGAATCAAGGCCCAGTTGGTATGGGGGGGGGGGGGGGGGGGGGGGGGGGGGGGAGAGAGACAAGTATCTAAAACAAAAGTGGCGCCAAAAAAATCTCCAAACCATTAAACAGTCTCCTTCCGCCCTCTTCCCCTCCCACCCGGCTGCAACCCAGCGGGGCACCCAGCAGCACGCAGACATCAAACAGGCACCGGGACGTGGATTTGGGTGTACCGCCCCAATTTAAACTGGCCACCATAAACAGAAAGGCGGGGAAGGCAAGACAAGGCTAGGCACGTTCGCCGGCAGCAAGCCCACTGCATTCAGCGCCACTTATTTCCGAGTAAACCTGCTTGGGAGATCGGCTTGCGGGTGCATCACAGTCAGAAGCGTCAGGAGCGAGACGGGCAAGAAAGAGTTCTCCGAGCCACTACCAACTTTCCCAAACAGCCCGTGTTTATTATTGTTGGGGAGAAAGCGCCGGAGAAGTTCCTGCCGCGGATGGGGAACAGCGACCGTTCCTCCCCTCCCAAAAGGCCTGGCCCCTCACCAGTCCTCAGGGCAATAAAAAACAAGTTGCGGGCCTGCTCAGTCCCACCAGGGACACGTCGGCCCGCAACAGAGCTACCAGCGATCCTACTGAGACTCGCGTGTGCGCGCAGCCTCGCCGAAAAGTCCTGGTCTCTCGCTGGGTTGCTGGCTTCCCCTTGCAGGCCTCCTCGAGGGCAGCGCAATTGCAAACACCCTTCCCAACGCGGGGCTGTCAAAGGGCATGCGGCGTGTAAACGATCCCGGGCTTTTCCCCTACACAAAACGGGGTCTGGCTCGCCTCCCCGGCTTACTCGAGGAACAGGCCCAGGAAACTAAAGGGAAGGAGTGGAAGTGGAAAGGAACCGGGGGGGGGGGGAGCAGGGAAGAAGAAAAAAAGGAGAGTGGGAAGGCGGGGCACCATTGCTAAAGGCTCCCCAGCACCCTCTCACCTCTAATCTGCCCCCCCCCCCCCCCACTATACCCCTTCTTCCCCCCCCCCCCCGGTAACACAGTTTCTGGAGTCCTCCATCTTGCAAGCACCCCCCGTCTCCCTCTCGCACACGAGTCTGGCACCCCACATCCCCTTCCTTCCTTCCTCCCCCTCCTCCACTGGAGTGTGTGTGGTGGGAGGGAGAGAAACCCCTGACGCCGGTCTCCATTTTATCTGCGCCCAGCGGCGGGACCGAGGCCTTCCCCTCCCTCTCCCTCTCCCTCTCCGCGGAGGCCTCGGGCGGGCGGCGGGGGGCGCGGAGAGCGGAGCGAGGGGGCCGCGGGGCGCTGGAGGTCGCGGGGAGCAGGGGCGTCGCTCCGGGCGCCCGCGGCCTAGTCCTTCCTCCTCCCTCCCGTCCCCGGCCGCCTTCCCCCGCCACCCTTTCCCGAGGGAGGGCCGCGGGAAGAGGCAGGCGGGCAGGCGGGCTCCCCCCCCTCCGCTCGCTCGCTCGGCCCCGCGTCCTCCATCTTGCCTGCGCCGCGAGTTCCCCCCAGGCTCGCGCGGCCGAGGCCTGGCCTGCATTTATGTAACACACACCGAGGCCCGCTCTTTCCAAGCGCGCCGTTCTTCTTCCGGGCGGCCACTCCGGCGCTCGCCCCTGCCCCTCGCCAGCTCGCATAAATATATATTTATTTTTTTAAAGGACGCGCGCGCGCGCGCGCGCGCTCCCCGCCGCCCGATTATTCTTCAACTTCCTCCCCAGCGAGCGCGATCCGGGGTTCAAACTTCCAGAAGCTTCTGCGCCACGATCCAACTTACCGTGCCCGGCTGGAGAGGCCTGGGTGGGCGCTGGCGGCTCCTCGCGGCTCCCGCGCGCCTTTTCCCTCCTCTTTTTCGGAAAGGGGCTTCTTTCTCGCGCCTCCCGAGCGCCCCTGGCTCGCGCTGCCGCTGCTCTCACTTCCAAGGCCAACAACTCGGCCCGGGTCGGCCCCCGACTTCGAGGGCCCCCTCCCTCGGCGGGAAAACGAGACGAGCCCGGGGAAGGCCCGGGGAGGGCGAGGGGGCAAGGAAGGGGGGCTCTCGAGCGCGCGGATCGAGGGCGGCGGCGCGGGGGGGGGAGGGAGCCAAACGGGCGGATTATTTAATTTGGCGGCGGCGGCGGCGGCGCTGGGGATTGTTTGGGGTGTTCGCAGCTCGGTGGCTGGCGAGCGAATGGAGGGCGCAGGCGCCACCTGGCGGCCACTGAGTACGCGCCGATCCGCCGGGCCTAGAGCGGCACCTGCCGGGCGGACTCAGCTGCGCAGGGAAGCGGGAGACGGCCTTATACGCAGAACGGTGCCATTCTCCATCCGGGCAGAGGAGAAACGGGGTAAACAAGGTGCTGCGCCTGCGCGGCGGAGGCGGGCCTGCCCGCTCTCTCGCTCCTCTTGCCTCATCGCCGCGCCCTGCTCCCTCCGACGTCATCCCGCGGCGGAACCTCCCCCGGCTGTTCCTTCGCGCGCGCGGGGCGAGCTCGAGTCGGCACGTAGCGCCCAAGGGAGGCGGAGCTCGGAGCGGGCGACCAAGCGGCCCCAGCAAGTGGCCCGCGGCGCAGCCGGAAGGGGCTCGGCTCGGCGCGGCTGGAGGGACGCGCCCTGCCATTCCCCAGGGATCCCGGGGGGCGATCCCGAATTGGACGCAGCGTCGCCACTGCGGAGCAGTGCCCTGTTCACCTCTCCTCTAGGGTCTACTCTAGGTAGGAATGGGATGGCGGCGACTTGCGCAGAATTCGGCAGGACCTGCTTCTGGGTGCACGTGGCCGGAGTCAGCTTGCATGGGCTTCCTCGGCACTAGCCCCACGGAACGGCTGCAGGTCGGCTTCTGAATAAACGGGGCCGGATGAGTCCGCGTGGTGTTCGGGAGGCCGTGCCTGCTGACTTGGGAGTGAATCCCCTGAAGCTGGGATTTTAAAAGTGCTAATAGTCCCAGACGGGTAATCGTGTTAGCCTGTTGCAGCAAGAATAACGGAGATTTCGGCCATCTGAAAACTCCAATCAGTGCATTCCGGAATCAGCTTTCCTGGTCATTGGCCACTTATTGGTTCTGACTAAATAAGCCTGCGATTAGGCTACACAGAAAGCATGCTTTCTTGGAAGTAAGCCCCGCTTAAACTTTCCAGGATCTGCTTCGTAGTAAATATGGGCAAGGCGGGCTACTGTAAGGTTCAAATAAGGCTTCTTTAACCCAATGCCTACTTATTTGGGACTAAATATATTGAACCCTGCAGGACTAGCTTTTGAGTAAAGGGGTGAGATGAGGTTACACAGCTGCTGCTTGCCTAGGCATGTGTGTTCAAAAAGGTTCCACTGGTTTCAGAGGAACTCCTTATCTTTGCATGACCATGCCTAAGATTGAAAATATCTGGAAAAATGCAAACACGCAAGGGATTGCATATTGGTTGGTAGTGTGTGCTAATTCATTTAAAAGATGTAAAGCTCATCAAGTTATAATAGAACATATTTCTCAATGGTTTTCAAAGGAACAATGCAGTGCTAATGATTTGAGTGGTGAAGGGGGCAGGGGATCTCTAGCACTAAAAATTACACAACATTGCTTCTTAATCAGAACTTGAACTGGTAACTTTTGCCACAAGCTTTCCGTGTTCTGGTTCACAAGTTGCGCTAGGAACTCCTGCATTCTTCAACCCGGGAGTTAAAAGGACAAGCAAAGTGTGTGAACTGCATGCACATTGTTTCTGATTTAATGAAGGTGGGGGAGTTGTTTTAATTCTGTGATGTGCTAACATGGAAAGTCTTAATTGTTTGTGGACTGAATCCAACAGTTGTCCATTATTTGTTTGATTAACTCTGGGTGATTTAACCCTTAACCAAAGCAGATTTTCCAGATCCACATGTCATGAAACACTGGAAAGGACAATGATACTTGCAAACTCAGCTCACTCCATTTCCTGGCTCTATTTTTTTCCCATTGGACTGCTTCTCAATGCCACCAGGAAGTAACCCAAGACCACAACTGTATCTGGTTTGTAGATTTTGATGTATACAACAATGGATGAAGTAGGCATTTAACACTCCAGCTGCCCAGCCATTCTTCTTGTAGTAGAAGGGTTAGAGTCAGGGTGTTACTACACGTGCTGTTACTGTAAGTGCAGTCGTATTGGCACAACCCTGCCATGCCAATGACAATTAGACACCACCCTGTCAATACAAAGCTGCACACAAGTATGTCAATTCCACCTAGAAGCCATCCCACTCTGTAATTATATGAATCATAGGTGGTTAAAGGCTACTCAGTTTTGTGTTTTAGCAGGTAAAACTAGATCATTTGATTATTGGTTGCACTTGTCCTTGGAATAATGAGGTCTGGCCAACATCCTGAGCAGAATTATTTCCCACCTGCAACGTAAAACCATTTATGATAATAGAGCCTAGCTGAATGTTCTGTGGCAATATTCTGTGATATAGACATGTGTTGATAAATATCTGGAATTGCTGTCATTGCCAAAGTTTAACTAAATAAATTGCTGTTGTTTAAAGCAGTAAGTAAAGCTAGTTGCATATTAAATTCAGTTTTGTTTTGTTTTTTTGGTATGGGATTTTGATATAATCCTTTTCCAGAGTTTGGGTTTGTTTATGGGGGAGGGGGGTTCTTCCCAAAGTCCTGAAAACTGAACACATATCAAGGGGTTTCATATTTTGATGTTTAATATGAAGTAAACCGAACTAAGAACCAGGTATCTCAAGGCTGCCATCTTACATGCATGTTCTTGGATGTAAGCTCCACTGAATGAAACAGGATTTAATACAGAACCAGTATATGCACATGACACTCTTGAGCATCTTTGAAGGCCCCACCAGAGACCAGCCCTGAACCTGACTCCACCTAACCACTAATGCCGGGATAATGTGTTACCAGAAAAGAGGCTGGGAAAGGGCTATGGATCTTCAGAAGCTAAGGATGTAATCCTATGCATATCTAGACAGCAAAACAGCCTTTTACTCCCAACATGCCCTCTGGCTTACTGGGTGCTATAGGCCTTTTTTGTCTAAACATGCTTAGGATTGTACTTTATATGGGCAGATGCAAATTTAGAAATAATTGAAATTACCTCACATCCCACGATAGAATAGATGATCTGTACTGTTCAGGTGCTACCAGCTGATGGGCAAACTGAAGGGCCCTGCTAGACCATGAAGTAAAGCATTCCTTCAGGCTGAAAACTGCGAAGTAGGCTGCCATAGCCTTAGGGGTCTGGCATTTCCAATTTAATTCATCAGAACAGTCCAGAGTGACACGAATTCAGGGGGATTGTGAAAAATTGCACTGTATTGTCTACCCCCACCACATTCATATATAGGGACCCCCCTTCCCATCTTCTGGAGCGTTTCCTCCATCCCGCCACTTCGGGCTTCTGAGGGGGAGAGGAGCCACCCTACATGGACCCCAGACACCCACTCCACCCTTCCCGACCATGTATACCCTTTTATTCTATAACCAAATTTCATTATATTTCTCAGTTATCAATACTTACTTTAAAAAAGATTCAATAACTACAACACTACAGAGTACAATATATTTTCGATATCTATTCCATAAAGATTTTCTTGTCTCTTTTTACTTCCTTCTATCTCTCGTCGTCTTTCTGTTTCTACGGAGAGCCTGAACATTCTGTTGCCTTATCCAACTTCTTCTCCACTGACCAGTCTTTTTTCTTCTTCTCTATCTCCCTTCTTGAGAATGTAGGCATATCCATTAATTTCTGCATTTGCACTATATATTCATCATCATCAATAATCCGAAGCTCCTTTAGTAACTCCAGTACTTCCTCCTTTGTATCAACTCTGTAGTATCTTCAAACCTCAAATAAAATCGGAAACCCCCAGCTGTATTTAATGGATTTTTTCTTTAATATTTGACAAACTTGGAACATATCTCTCCTCCATTTTCATTACATAAATCAGGAAAAACTTGAATCTGGTATCGTTTGAACATAATTGATGTCCTATCACGTAACTTCTGCATCAGGTTTTTTTTTTTTTTTTTTGCATATGACCAAAATTGAACCACTGTGTGTTTCAGCGTTTTTCTTCCAGGTTTTCTTCAGCCAAATCTACGTATTGCAACAATATCATCTCTTGTAAAAGGAACATCTGGAAGAATAGATTTAGCCCAGTCCAAGGTCTATTTTGATATTTAATTTCTTCATATCATTCTTCATATCCTCTATCATATCTTTAAAATCTGCCTTCATTTCTCTGAGTTCCTGTAAAAGTATATCATGCTTGTCTGGTTCTGAAACGGATGTGAAAAAAAAAAACATCACTAGGAAAAATCTATGCGCAGCCTTGTTGTAGATGACAAGAACCTTTTTTAACAATCTGGCCAAAGCTCAACTTGAGGATTGGGGAAAAGATTTCACTTTTTCTAGGCTCAGAAGGTGTAAGGTCTCATGCTGGGAATCTGCCTCTTCTAAAACTGAAAGGGGGTAAAAGTGCAAATATCAGTTCTGGCTGGTACTGGGACAATACAAAATGAGAGGATCCATAAACTAAATAAATGCACGTACACACACACAAAGGGGGAGGGGGAACAAAAATAAATAATTGTTTTATGCAGCAACCTTGAGAAGTAACTTATTAAATCTCACTATTTGGCCAGGGCGACTTACTTTATATTGTTATTTTTGCATTTTAACTTAATGTTTGTATTTTTTAATTTAATGTTATAATTATTTTTTAACTTAACGTTGTAAGCCGCCCCGAGGCTTTGGCGAATGGGGCGGCATAAAAATGTTTTAATAAATAAATAAATATCCATTCTACCAATTTTAGACTGCAAAAAACGATTGTGAAAGCTAAAAAATGACTTATTACACCAACTGCCGTGCGTGTTCCATTTTGCTAACACAGTGGATACGACACAGCAGCCAAACAATCTCCAAAAGCTGTGATCAAACAAAAACATACAAATTGCCATAAAATACATTGTATCACTGTACATTTCTGAACTCAGTCTATTTGTCCTCATTTTATCTAACAGTTAATAAAGTCTGCCCTGATGCATACAATTTTGGGGGCTCAAGAGATTGTTATGTTGAAAGGTAGTGTGGACTATTTACTTAAGTATAAAAATAAGCTTGTTGGGTGCAGCAAGTAACTGGCTCTCTCTTGTGAGACCCATCAGCTGTTCTCCCTTGAGTTCTTTTAAGATTTAATTATTCAGAAATCTGTTGTGTAATATGATCAAGCTTTTAATTTGCCAAAATGAAATGCCTGCACAGTTGCAGAAAGGGCAAATACCATCCACTGCCAACCAAGACGGTAGCACACACTTTTACTCCAGCCTGAGCAATTTGTGGATCACACACCAATGCAAGATTTGAAAACTTCCGGAGAAGACGAATCCTTGCGATCCTCCAGTGTTTTTTAACCGACAATGTAAGAATGCCCACCAAGGATCTCTTAAAGTGTATCTAATCTCTGCTAAGCTGAAGGACAAAAGCAGACATTACTTCTGGACATTACTAGTATCTATGCAGTTGTTTTTTTAATACTCTAGAGTAGGCAAAGGGTCACAACCAGGACCTTTGGATGGATATGAGGGATGCTTTTAAGATCTGGACTGAGCAGTTATTGCTACTTGAGAGTAAAAAGAGAAGAGTGGACTTGTGTTAGATACTTGCCCTGGACTTGTGGAAATTACCTGTTCAACAAGCCATTTGTGCATTTAGAAAAGTGTTGGAGGCAGATGCCATCCAGATGAGCAGAGTGCAATAGCGTTGGTGCCCTGAGCTTCAAACTGAGAAAGATTTGTGACACCAAAGCGAGGGAAGGGGGCTACAGCAAGATGGCCTCCGACCCCACAACTCAGGGCTGGAACAGAGCCCCCCTCTCGGGTGTGCTCTGGTCTTTTCCGTGCAGCTGGCGGAATGGGAGTCTCCTTTTCCAGTACCCCCATTTTATAGGGTGGGGCGGGGAAGGAGAAGGCTGGAGGTACAGATCTTGACCAGCAGCATCCGTATCATTTCATCTGACCGCAGGAATGGAAGAAGCGAGGGGGGCGCAAGGGGCACACCGAGACCTCTGCCCCGCAGCGCGCCCCACTAGAAGGTTATGTGGGGCGTCCCCCCTCCCGCAACCAGATGAAGGGCTCGGAGGCGCGGGCTCGACCCCTAAATCCGCTCCCCCCCAAAAAGCACGCCAGCTGCGGCCCCAGCCCCGCTCCCCGGCGCAGAGCGGGAGCGGGGCGAGCGCGGCCCTACCTGCGTGGCCGCTCGCCCGCCGCCTCGGCTCCGCCGCCCTCGCTGCCTCCCGCGGCCGGTGCTCCAGGCGCTCTCGCCGGCGCACCAGCTGCTGCACGGGGCAGGCGAGGCAGGCGAGAAAATGGCCGCGGCCGGCCCGGGAGGAGGCGCCGCCTAGCGCCCTGGAAGCCGCCGCCGCCCCGTTCCGCCGAGGGCGCTCTTCGGCGCGGGAGCCAAGCCCCGCCAAGCCCGTGCGCCCCGGGAGCCTGTTTGGCCAGGGGGGAGGCGCTGCCGGCGTCGCCCAGGCTGCCCTGCGGCTCTCGGCGGGATAAGGAACGCCGGAGCTGCAGGGCCTTTTCCGGACACGCTCGGGAGGGTGTCCCGAGTCATGTTAAGGCGCAGTCCTCCCCTCTCCAGACAGAAAATGGGCCACAATTCCTGACATTCCCCAGCCGGCCATTATTAACAACGAAATACAGGCGCAGTTTCTAGCATCGTAGAAGAACCGAGTGAGAAGCGACCAAGGCCATTCGCCTGTTCGGTGCATCCCTCTCTCAGGTGGCTGTCCAGGTGCACCTTGGCTGCCTCTCGTGTGGAGAGCCCACCACCTCACTGAGCAATGGGCTCCGTTGTCCCGCTGCTTTAACGGCCAGGAGGTCCTTCCTCATGCTGATGCGGCTTCCTCTAACTTGAGTCCAACAGTCTGTGCTCTATGCGCTGGTTCACGTCCTCCATGTGCATATGTTCAGTCCATCATCTAAGGGCTAGCTCTTGATGGACAGCCATTCTTACTTTGTTTTAAACTGGAGTGGGCCAATCTAGCCTTCAAAGAACTGTTCTGCGTGCATGAGGGCATCCAGCCACCCTAGCTAGAATCCCTCACAACAAGACTACATTTCAGGTGTTTTGGGAACTTCAAAGGGGCAGCTAGACCCTTTGATGGCTGACCAACAGGAAGCAGAGTCACCGGAGTCACCCAGAAAAAAAGAAAAGGCTGCATCTCCCAGCATATCCTAACCCTTGTTTTTCATTATATTGTATTTTACTCTCTTAAATATCTGTCTTGTACTTTGTATTTTAACAGTTGTATGGGATGGGGGATAAACTGTTCATAATCACTCAGAGAACAGAATTTTTGTTATTGGGTAGATTAGAAATGAATTAAATATGTCCATTCCTGCTTTACTCCCCATCCACTGCCTTCATTTCATCAATAGAGATGTCTTTTAAAGCAGGCAGGAACAATTTTTATTGGTTGCTAGTTGCAACTCCAGGAGTGAATGCTCTGTCCTTCCCAGCCCTGCTCAGCTCCTGTAAACTCAAGGATGTGGATTCCATTATGGAATCATCCATCTCAGTTTTCTCTTCTCCCAGGTTTGTTAATCCTGTACCTACTTTCCCCAAAGTAAGACTCACAGAACTTAATGCTTACTTTTTAGTAGGTGTGTCTATTGTATTAATGTACCTGCCTTTCCATTAAAAGGATGTCATTTAGGATGAATAACAAAATCCAAATTAAAAATAAAATCTCAATTAAAATATAACCAACAATAAAAGCATGACAAAACATGTCATCCTTTTATGTACTGTTCAGAGGTCTATGACAAGATCAGATCCTGGCAGCCCACCCTGACTCCATGCTACACATCACACAGGCATTTATATGAAAGAAATAAGACCCGATGTATTCAAGTTGAGCATATTCACAGGAGAATGCTAGACCGCTTCATAAATTAAGTACTATTATAAAACTCACTTGGTGTCCCAACTGGGGAGGGGCCTGTTGCACTCTGGTGCAGAGGAAAAAGTTCTTTGTACTCTTGGTGCTACAGTGTTTGTTTCAGTTGCTGAGAACTGAGAATGCCCAGAATGTCATGTTCAGCTGAGTCCTGCTATGCTCCATTACATCTAATGGAGTTGAGAAGGATCTAAGGTCTCTTTGACAGAGCATACAGTACCAGGCCCTTTAACAGAATGAAGGGGCAATAAAGCCAGCTCCCGAAAAAACCTAACTTTGATCAGAAAATCAAAACAACTTGTCAGTGTCCGGGGCGAGGGAAGCTGACTAACGGTAACAGCACCGGGACCCAGGCAGACAGGGCGAGACAAGAGGAAGAGGAAATCCAATACATAGTGCAAGGTCAAGCCAGAAGTCAAGACACAAACCAAGTCCACAGAGGCAGGTAGCAGAGTCCTGAGTGAGCCAAATCTCAGAGAACCAAGGAAGGCAGACGAGTCAAGGAGGGAAGAGGCACAGGCAGAATGCAGGTTTCCAGGTCTAACAGACCAGGAAGGGCTTCTTCAACAGCAGGAGACCCTTCTTGCAAAGAAGAGCTGGTTCTTATATAGCTCCTCCCCAGGGATCCCCAGGTGGAACTCATGAGAGCCCTGGCAACTGCAGTGGGTGGAGGTCAGAATCTTGCAACCACCAGAGCTGCTCCGCCGGCCCTTGGCCAGCAGAGGGAGCCCTGGTGCCACCTCCGGTCTTGACACAACTACAGGCAGTTTGCCAACTTTCATTTTCCGGGCAAAGTGCTTCTGTATGTGATTGTTAATTAACTCCAAACACTCTTGGATGAAACTGATTTTTTAAATAGCATTTTAATGACTCCATCTTTAGGCATGGTTTTGCAATGGAAGCTCCCCTCAGTCACCGTTTTGCCAAGGGCAAAAGGTTCTTTTTGGATCCAGAAGTGATGTGCACACAGGTGGATTAAAGTCTAAAGATTTTATACTAAAACAGGCACTACAATGTAAACAGACATAAAAACATGGAAAAGGAAATACAATTCCAAGTAAGCTGGCGTTCCTCTATCAGCCATCAGGAGCCCCCCTTCGCGAACGACAAGGGAACAGCCTAATTCTTGGCCTGTGTGGGTCCCCTTCCTTGCTTGGCTAGATCTCACAATGAAACTTGCTTGAGTGGGACCGCGAGGCTTCTCTTTCTATCCTAAATCTAAGAGTGTCACTAGAGCCCTGGCAGCTGCAGTGGACGGAGGTCAGAATTCTGCAACCACCCGAGCTGTTCTGTGGGGCCTTGGCCAGCAGAGGGAGCCCTGGTGCTGCCTCAGAACCTCACCATATTGCTGTTGCCTTAAGAAAATGGCACTCTTCCCCCTTCCCTCTCACTCTTCTCCCCTCTAGCTGTAGGCCAGAGCAGACAGGCCATTCTGTCGAATGCTGTGTGGCTGCCAACCTCCCTTCCCTATCGAGGGATTCCAGAGCATTTCCTATCATGAGCCTTTCCATTATCTTTCCCACAATAGACATAAGGTTAACTGGCCTGTAATCCCCCATGTCCCCTCTGCTACCCTTTTTGAAAATTGGGACCACTGATGCCACCAGCCAGACCTCTGGAACCTCACCCGTTCTCCATGAGGCCTCAAAAACGGAGGCCAGTGGGCGTGAGAGTACCCCCACCAACTCCCTAAGTATCCTCGGGTGTAACCCATCAGGCCCGGTGCCTTTGTAAAGTCCAGTGCCCTCAACTTCTAGGGGAGTGACTTTAATCTGTGCCCCTGAGTCCCTGGCCTCGTCTGATCCTCCATGTGGATCTCCCCCATCCTGCTTTGGGGAGAACATAGAAGCAAAATAACCATTTAGCATCTGTGCCTGTTTCCTCACATCAGTCACTGAATCCCCTTCCCCTTTTTAATCGGTCCCACTGCCCGTCTCCCCTTCCTCTTGCTATTTATGGGTGAATAGAAGCCCTTTTTGTTGCTCCTGATATTCTTTGCCAGTCTCAGCTCATAACCATCCTTAGCCTTGCGAAGAATCCTTCTGCAATGAGCCTCCTCCTCCCGGTATTCCCTTTTGTCTACTTGACCCAGGATCCATTTCCTAGGGAGGTTCCTCTTACGCCTAATGCCTCTTACCACTTCTCTTCCTCATGGGGGCACTCCCCGCCTCCTGGGCCAGGGTCTCAAGTTGACTTGCACCCACCCACTGTCAGGTCCCTCCCCCTGTTGAAACCCTTGAGTTTCACCCAGACTGCCTCTACCAGATCCCCATTCTGTCTCACTGCATCCGACCTCTTCCCTGACATAAAAAACTATGCCCCACCCCTCACTCCCTTCCTGTCATACCCCTCTTTGTTTACATTCCAGTCCTGCCTTTCACCTTACCAAGTTTCTGTGATCCCCACCAGGTCATACCCTTCTATTGCCAGGGGAGCCTCAAGCTCTTCCTGCTTATTACCCAAGCTCCTAGCATTGATATACACGCATCTCAGCACCTTCTCACAAATCCCTTTCTTTGGGTCCCCCGGCCTCCTCCTTCCTCCATCTTCCCTAGTGCCCTCTTCATAGAAGTCCCACCACCTCCTGCCGTACATCTAGCACCCTGGATCTGAAAACCTGGCCTTCTCCCCTCACTTGTCCCATCTGAACAAGTTTTGGGGGGACTGTACCCACGCCGGTTCAGTTTTAAGTCTTCTGGATGCAGCTCGCTAGAGCATTTCTGAAGGACCTTTTCCCCATCCTCATGAGGTGCAACCCGTCCCTTGCCAGAAGTCCATTGGCAAGAAACCGGGTGCCGTGGTCGAGGAACCTGAAGTGTTCCTTCTGACACCACACCCTGAGCCAGTCATTCACCTCTGCGACCCTCCCTTCCCTGGCTGGCCCAAATCCCCGGACTGGCAAAATAGAGGAAAAGGCCACCTGGGCCTTTATTTATTTTATTTATTTAAAACATTTCTATGCCGCCCCCATCGCAACAAAGCCTCGGGGCGGCTCACAACAAAACAAAACAAAACAAAACAAAAAAACATTTAACACCCCCCCCCGGTGCATTTTTGGCTAATTTAAAATCCTAATAAATACAATAATTTAGCAATTAAAATAAGTTTTAAATAAAAAGGTCTTAGCCTGGCGCCGAAAAACAAATAACGATGGCGCCAGGCGGACCTCTCTGGGGAGCGCATTCCATAGATGGGGCGCCACCGCAGAGAAAGCCCTCCTCCGGGTTCTCACCCTCCTAATATCATTCACAGAGGGTTCCCGGAGAAGGGCATCCGTTGCTGATCTCAAGGGGTGGGAGGGCATATAGGGGCGCAAGCGTTCCTTTAGATATCCAGGTCCCAAGCCGTTAGGGCTTTATAGGTCATAACCAACACCTTGAATTGGGCCCGGACTTCAACTGGGCCCGGACTTCAGGTCTGCAGAATTTGCGTGACTTTGTCAAAGCCACCGCATTGCAGAATCAAGGATCAGATTCATAGAAATCCAAGCTCATTTGCATCTGTTGTGGGTTTCTCTAACACCTGTGGTTGAGGGACAAAAAATGTACAGAGCAAGCAAAGGAATCAGGAAGAGACACAGTTAAATTGATGCAGCTTGACATTCTCTGTTGGTGTGGGCAGGCGAAATTGGCCAGAACCTACCCTGGCTCGTTACTTATAGGCCAAGGCGAAGCCCCATTGACGGTAGGGCAGTTAATGCTCAGTCAACAGATAGTACTTTCAGTTTGCCGCATTACAGGCACCCCAGAGGAGGAAAGGACTTCGGCACCCGCGCCTCTCCCGGACTGCAAACTGCTACACTGGCACAGGGAATAAGGCATTAAGATCCTCCTAGTCATGGAGGCCCCTGATGTGTCTTGCAAGAATTAAAATCTTGCATTACGGCAATTGCAATAGGGAAGGGCATTTCATTAAAAAAAATGGCTCTGTGTCAGCCAGAAATTGCAACTATTTTCCAGTTACGGGATAGCTAGACTGTTCGTCCGACAGAAGTTATTCCCATTGTTGGATTATTGTCCATGTGCATGCTGGTTTTGAGAGTCCTTCCTTGGCAGATTTTGTTGCATGGGGAAGGGGGGTACCGAGGGAGAATAGATGCATTCCAGTCCTTGACAACCAGAACTTTCTTTTACAGGATTAAAGGATTTTTCTACATTATAGGAAACACACAAGCTTTACTTAATTTACCTCAGATATACATTGCTGTATGTAATCTCATGACTGATAATGCCATTGACAAGGCGATCTTATACCAAGTAGCAAGTAGCACTGAATTCAGTGGTCCCAGATGAATCAGTACAAGTTGTACTCAAAAACAGTATTTTGTAAAACTGCAATCCCATGTCTTATTTCAATCTTAATCTACCAGTCCTCCCTAAGTCTCTCAACTTTAACAATCCCTCCCACTCCTTTCTAGATAGTATTTATTTATTTTTATTATTTATTTATTAAAACATTTTTATGCCGCCCCATTCGCCGAATGTGGCAATCCTTGTGGTAGATAGACTGAGGATAAAAAACAAGTTGCACTATGTAAGAAAAATCACTTTATTAAAAATATGTCCAAGTAGAATTCCAAAGAAGTTCTAAGTTTAGATTATAGGTCATTATAATATTTCAAAAAATAAATTCTGCCAATAGATTAGAGTCTGCTTGCTCAACCCATGGCTTTAATCCAACAGAAGGATCCCATTATTTTCTGTAGGCTCAACAGTATTTACAGCCAAGATCACGCCAGTTTGATTCTAGATATATTTCTGTGTATTATTATTAACATGTATACAAAATATGCATAGTTTGTCAATTTGAGGATTAGTTTAACCGAGAGCAATGTAAAACAGGTTGGACTCCTAAGGACAAGCGCTGGGGAAGTCTTTCCCATTTTATAACTGTTTCTGGTTATGCTGATAACACAAGTGGGCTGGAATGAAAGTGTCACTGATCTAACGAAGAGGACAGGTGGATGGTTAAATTACAAACTAATTACAAAGGTGTAGCCACTGAGTTCTGTCCCTGTGTTTTCATTCAGGTAGATGGACTGTGTTCTTGCATAAGCCACACTGAAATAAACTGACAATGAACAACAGTGTTATGTGAATTGTGCTACCTCATGTGATTTTTAGATAACTGGAAAAGGAGTGGAAAAACAAAATGTGATACCAAAAAGTGTGGTGTGGAACATCAAAAGTGAGATTGCTGCACACTTCAAGCTCTTTGCTTTTTTATGTCAGCCAGTAAATGCATTTAAAACCTGAGAGAGTTGTCTAGTTTCCACTTGTCCAACGGCAGCCATCTCTGGGGCTCAGAGACTATCCCTTTTGCAAACAAGGGGAAACCATTTCTGTGGTAGCTTTCTGAAATGGGCACCAGGTCTGCAGATGGCCACATATGAGCCCCACTGAAGTTAACTGGAGTTGCAAAAGTACAATTTGGGGCAGAATTACTGCCATAGTGTCCTGCTTTTTGATTAAAAAGGATCATACAGACATATATATATTAGTGTCTTTAGGATGCCACATCGGGTTATGCTATGTAAATCTACAGAGTTAGTACGCAGCAAGATTATAGTGGTCATTGTTGCATTCTTTGTAAACCAGTTTGGGAACACTGGTCAGGGCTGCAAAAGTGGTATAAAATGTTTTTAAAAATAAGCAAATAAAAGATAGCATATCAGATCTCAAAATCTACTCCTGAATTAAAGAACGAAAATGATCATCATAAAATGCAAGGGAGCTGGTGGAGGACCCAGCTACCCCAGGGTAGAGCACTAGTAGCTAAAGATGCTTGTGAGAGAGACACCTACAGCAAGAAAGGTTAAGACATGGACTTTCCATCTCAGTGAGGACTACACCCCTGGGGCATGCCATGAACAGAAAGAAGATGGGGGAAAGACAGGACAGGGAACAATGCGGATACGGGCAGTACAAGCATCAATCAGAGGACAAGTTTCTAACTGCTGCCTGTACAAGCTCACCAGCCAAGTGGCTCTCAGTGTCAGGCCATGAGGGCTAAAAATCCAGATGCGTGTAATTTAGCAGCTTTATGAGTTATATAGTAGATCAGTGCGTTCAATTAAAGCTTATATTCATTCAGTCCATTTCTGTATTGAACGTGGTGAGTGTGATCAATCTCTAGGTCAGTTTTCCAGTCGCACAGAGTGGTGCTTTTGATTAGGACATATATATCTTCTGCCTTTTTTCAATAATTCTGCAACATAAAGGGCACTTGTCGATCGCTTCAGCACAGTCCTTACAAACAACAAGATGCCCACAAGGAATGAGGGCCACAGAGATGTTTTTGTCCAAACAGACTTTACAAAGTTTTTCTTCCTGCAAACGTCTCAACTTCTCTTCAATGCTGAGATCTGAAGGGAAACAGAATACTTTTTTACAAAATAGCAACAGCAAGGAGGAGGAGCAGAGCCAGAGATGCGCCAGTGTTGGAATTAAGCCCACAGCTGAAGCGTGGGCCTGGACAAAGTCCCAGCAGTGCTGAGCATTCTCCACAGCCTTACCTCAGACATTCGATAGGGGGTGTCAGAAACGGATTCTTCAGATTATATAAGCATGTGCTCCTGAAGGGTTCCTAGAACTAACTCTACCAAGTTTCAGGAAACATGCAAGAATTGCTTTATTTGTCCAATCCTCTTGCAAATCGTTTTGTACAACAAAATATAAAATTGTTATTTTGTATTTGCATGCTCTCTTTCTCTGTTTACTGGTTGTATCAGTTCTTTGTATTGTATCTTTTACCATGTTATTTTGTTAATGCTTGACTTGATGTTCGGAAGTCACCTTGGAAATTCTCTGAGCTGGAAACTGGAATGCAAAGGCTATAAAATAAATAAAACAGCAGGGCAAACACATCTTCACTATGATTCTGCTGCTGTGGCTACAATGCCAGCCTACGTCACTAGAGTATTTTAATGATTACTGAGACTGTATGCAGAATGCCTCGGGTATATGTTATGCTTTACATAAATGCTGAATGTTACTGCTACATGGTAAACCTGAAATTTCTTTTTAATATAGGAAATACTTGGCGGAAAAATGTTGAATGTACAGACACGTTAATGTGCAAAGAAACATTACTTAAACGCTAACTGAAGTCCACAGTGCCATCTGACTCAGCAGTTTTTTCAGTAGTTTTCAGGGTGTATGTGTGAGTCCTGCAATCAGGAATTCCAACACAGAGAAGCAAGAAGAAACTCCGGTTGACCAAACAATGGACCACAGCGCAAGACCTCAGAACACAGGAATCTCCACCCCATGAAGACAAAGACCCCACGTCTGCAAGCAAGACCCATACCCCAAAGCAAAAGTGTACCTCATCCACATTACATTTATTCTTGTCCAGCATGCATGCATGCTTTGATGGGACTCACCTTTCTCCTGGGATGCACTGAGTACATTTTCTTTCTGGGCATTTATTAAATCTGCAACCAGAGCCTCGACAGAACTGTAACTCTCTGAGGATAGGTGGCGCTTCCTTTCCACAGCCTTCTTAATTTCATCCAGGCTGAAACCCATACGCATTGCATTCTGAACCACATGTTTCTGTAAGAGTTCCTCATCTACAGTAAGCCATATATAAATGAAACCAGGAAAATTTGCTTAGAACAATACTCTCTACCCCAAGATATTAAGTATAAAAACATTTAGCTGGAATTTTGAAGATAGATCCAAGTCCAGTTCATTATTTCACCATCAAAAACAAAACAGGAAGAAAACTGGAGCAAGTACATCTTTAAAGTGTTGCCTCTTGTCCCCCTAATTTCCATTTAGTTCCGAGCAGAAGAAAACATTTCATGCAAGAACTAGACAGGGGCAGAAGAGCAATCATAGGAGCAATCCACACTTTCTGGCAGAGTTTCCTAGAATCCACAGGCTACAGTATACACGACATATGGCACATAGCTTTCCGCTCCCAAAACCATAGACATGGAGCAAGAAGCTGGGGAAGTGAAATCCAAGCAGGGATTCTCTGCCCTTCTTCCAACCACAGCAGAAAGCATTACATTAAAGGGAACTGTGCCAGGGAGCAAGGAGCAGAGGAAGACCCCCCCACACACACACACACCCCACCACTTCTACATGCTTTTCCGTCCTCTGCCTCCAGGTGTGTGTGTGAACTAAACAGGCTCAGGGGCTGATCTAGCTCCAGAAAATGGAAATGGAGGAACAGACGGCTCTGTTGGGTTCTGGCTTACAAAAGATAGGACAGATGAAGGGTAAGGCAGAGCATTAAACCCTCTAACTTGAGTTCTTTGCTAGAGGTTTGCTGGTTTGGATGACAATGGAGTCTATGCTAAAAAATATATTGTCTGGAAAATGATGAGATTCAGGGTTACTACCCTGTCAATTGTGCCCTTGATGCTTATAAGCCCCCAAGTGCAGAACGGGAGGAGCAGCAGAGGAACTCTCTTCCTCATCAGGGCTCCTGCTCTGTGTTGCAACTCAATGGCTCTTTTGGGGCACCTAGAGATGCTTCAAAAGAGGAAAAGGCTGGAGGGCATTCAGGGTATCTTGCTACCCCAGCAGTCCTGGTCGCTCTCCCTCCCCCTAGAACACCCTCTTGACCCCCACCTCTGAAGTGTCTTTTCTGTGTCAGAGAGACAGTCAGCAGAGTTCTTTTAGGCACCAGCGGCCAGAAAGGGAGCGTGGCTTCTGAGCCCACAAGACTGCTGGTTCCAAAATATGCCATTTCCAGCAACTGAAACTTGTTCCCCGTTATTTGTGGGCAGGAATCCCAATTTGGGGATTGAAGCAACAGATACATTATACTAAATGCAAACATGCTGTAACATTAGCTAGGTTCAATGTTTTACCCTCTGTGAAGGATATTTCAGGGTACACATTTTGCTGCATGCGTATGTCCCTATTACTAGTTGAATCGTGTAACTTCTTACTCCATTCATTTTATGTAGAGATCAGATTGAAATTCTCTGATTTATACTCATGGAATGGACTTATAGAATGTCTTTTTTCTGTCATCCAATATCGGGTTGCATGGGTGTGTACAAAAATGTTAGTAAATACAATGAGAACATGGTTAGAGGAATATCAAATTATATTTTAAATTTGGGTTTTCACTGGATTTATGCCGGTTTAGATATCCGCAGGCCAGTTATAAACATTGGTACAGATACCTTTAATAGGTGATGTCTTCTCAGCTTCCTCCACCTAAAACAAAAAATTGAGATAACAGACTTGTCAAATGAACATAGTGGGCTGAACAGAAAGGGCAGGGAATCAGAAAGAAAAACAGTGGGTGCAGGTATTCCATCCTACCCTATTGTCAAAGGAATCAAGATGTAATGGTTTGAACTAGTGGCTCATGATCTTAGAGGCACCGTATCAAAATGAAAAAAAAAAGACAGAAGATTAAAATAAGCCAACTGCACCATGCAGTCTCATAATAGCCAGGTCAAACAGCCACTAGAGGGCACTGTGCTGGGGGGCAGAAGCGCCAAAAGGCAGTGGTTCCAGCTGATCTATATCACGTCATTCCGCTACTCTGTCCTACTGTACGTAGGGCCACTGCTCCAGTTCTGCTCCCACACCGTGCTTCCCATGAAGCTGCCTCTGAGAAGTGTGCAGGAGGATCAGCTGGTTCGGGAAACAGCACCAAGACGGTTGGTTGGAGCCACTTACAGGGCGCATGTGGCTTGTTACACGCTTCACTGGATACCAGTGTGTTTCTGGGTAAGATTCAAAGTGCTGGCTATGACCTATAAACCCCTTACAATTTGAGACCAGGCTACTTGCAAGACCTCATTCTCCCCTGCAAGCCTTCCCAGGCTTTTGAGCTCTGCAGGAGCACTGGCATTGGAGGCATTCTGTATTAGTATTAGTATTACTTGCCTCGAATGCCATTTTGTACTTAAAAATAAAAATAAAAGGAATACTCCATAGACTGAAGTCTGTGCACAGGACGATGCAACTTCTCTTTTCCACAGAGCACCTAAACACTTGAAACGTTTGATTAAAAAAAATCTAATGTCCTGAAATTATACGGATGCCACAATTTGTGCAGAGAAAATCCTTATATTAGCAAGTCACTTGAGCATGAGTCTGCTTTGCTGTCAACAAGAGCATGCAGTCTGCACAATGACTTTCAAGAGGAATCTCTTATGCTCATTTGCTTTTCATGCATTCCCTATCATGACAAGAAAACAAACAAGATCAAGTTACTTAAACACAGCATCTTCCACTACAGCAATTAACCTTTTCAGCCACATATGGAAGCACCATCTGTTCACACGTGGGCAGCTGGAGAAAGACCGTGCAAAAGTAACCGAGGCTTTTCTATATTTAATTGGCTCAATGGATTTCATAGTTTAAAACCGTGTTTATCTGAAAACAGATTCTCTGTGGAGGTATTTCAAATATATGGTTGCTGGGAAATGGTGCAAGATACTTACTGTAGAAGCATGCAGAGAATTAGTTAAATGGATGCTGTTTACGAAGTCTACCCCTTTTTCTTCTATCACGTATTTGCACCTAGGCACAACATATTTATACAAAATCAAATTAAAGTTGAATCAGCACAAGCAGACTATCAGAAGAGTACACACGGTGCCTTTGAAGGAATATAGCAAATAAAGTTCTCGATATATTCTAGAAGTGAATGCAAATACACTTCTTCCAAAACAAACACTAATCAATCCCCCAAAGAGTTAAGCATCTAAGGATGCTTAAAGCATTGACAGAATGAACAAGATCACCAGTTCAAAAACAAACAGAAAACAAAACCAAGCATGCACACCCGGAAGGGGTGGGGGCTTATACTGAATCAGAGCACTGGTCTATCTAGCCTGGTACTGTTGAAACTAACTGGCAGTGGCTCTTCAGGGTTTCAGCCAGTTCTTCCAGCCCTACCCAGAGACACTGGAGATCAAACCTGAGACTGTCTGAATGCAAAGCAGCTGCTCTGCAGTTAAGCTACAGCCCTCAGTTGTGCAGGATAACTCACAGTTGCTGTTTCCCCAAGCTAGGCAGAGAGATACAGGTCTCTGCTTCAGGTTATCTTGCTTGGGGGGACGGGGGAGGTACTGGGCAGGGACCAATCATGACCACTTGACTTGGATGCAGAAACCTCTTGGTGTTTCTGTGATGTCCCGCTCCCCACAGAGTAGACTGAAATGGAAACCACAGTCGGAAATGTGCAACTCCTCAATACGATCATGGAAAATAGAAGTAGAAGGGGCCTAATAAGGCCATCGGGTCCAACCCTCTGCCCCACTCACACATGTGGTCACCCATCTGCCTGCAGGCCCACACCTTCCCGCTTAGCAAAGCTGATTTGACCTGCCAGCCCAATGGACAGCTGCGCACAACAGATCTCGACAATCGTGTTAACTTCTAAGAACCTGGAACCATTTGCCAAATCACATCCCTACCGAAGAGGCATGCTTGTTTACCTACTGACACTCCTGAGTGGGATGCAGCCCAGCGAAGGAGTCCTAAGAACACAGGGATGGGATTTGTGGGTGGCATGGGCCCCTGTACGTTGGTGGATGCAAAGAACAGCAGGGGGCAGCACAAGAAACAAGGCGAGGCAGGGCTGCTATTAACATTCTGCCTCCATCGCCCTTGTCTGGCAGCAGCCGTTACACCAAATTGTAGCAGAGGAAGTCAAGAGCGACCAGTCCACCTGCTCTGCAGAGACCAGAAACAGTTGGCTGCTCCTCTCCTTGAGCTATTTCTCCTCCCGTGTACTATAAAAATTTTGTAACTAAGAACTAGGGCCAGTTTCCTTCTTTCCTCCTTCCTAATTGTGTTGGGTCTCTTGGACTGCATGCCTGAAGGTAGGGAACATCCGTATTACTGATCTCTGCAAGCTTCTCTGAACCTTATTTTTGGCTGAAGAGTAAGGTAAAAATCCTTTACGCGTTTCTCCATATGAAGGATTTTTAGATATACACAAACAGAGGGGAAGTGCCTACCCAGGAAACCATCTTGCGTGCTGCTCCCATGGATCTTCATTGTGCTGCCAATCTGTCAGTCCACCTCCACAGTGAAAGCAAATGACGTTGTCCCCATTGCCTATGGAAAACAAGGACAAGGGCTTGGGTGTCTTGAAAAGAACGTTTGAGCCTGCAGAAAATATTTGTGTGCACCTGACAAAACTCCCTTTCAGGTGGCTTAGGACTGGGAAGACTCTTATTCAAATCATCACCTAGGCTTTGAATTCACTTAGTGCTTCTGGGCTAGGAGTCTTTCACACAACTTTGCCTACATGACTGTTTTGTGGGTAATTTGGCAATGAGAAGATCAATGTATTCCATCTTGAATTTCCTAGAGAAAGAATGGGATAAAATTATAAATAAAAATAATGGCGAAAGAATGGTTACTTAATTGCATCTAGCCGTGTGCATCATTACGTATTTCTGAACAGTCTAGTCTAGACTTTCTTCCTTTCCACAAGACTGAATTGGTAATTTCCAATTAGGAGTAAACATACAAATACTCATATTTTTCTGATACAGAAAGAAAGTTAAAGAATGAAATGAAATGTACTGTACACAATCCTTAAAGATGTGTAACTTTTACACAGTTAAAAACCTTTTGATCAAACTGATTTTTGGTGGGTAGGAACAAGCCAACTCTGCAATTCATCATTAACACCTTGTTAATCGCCCCATGATCTAGAGACAGAGCAAATGATAAACGTAGCTGAATGAAGAATTTGCACATGACCAAGTACCAGAAAAGTGTAAACTTTAAATGGGAAGTCTATAAACTTAATTATATGATGCACAATTTCTTGAAAGATTTTAGTATTAACAGCAGCAGCTCTTGAAGTGACTTCAGTTTTTGCCTCAAAGCATCCAAGAAGCCACCAAATTAATACTTATGTTGCAAAAAGTTAGCTGGTTTTGGTTATGTTTGTATGTTGCTGCAAACTGGCAACAAAATTTAAAAAGATACTGCTTTTAACTTACCATTTGCTAAACAGCTCACTGAAGCCACCTCATGCTATAACCACAAGAACTTTAGCCACTGGCCAGAGCACGTAATGGGTACAGTAAGTCAATAAACCAAATTATGCAATTTATCCATGACTGACAGCAACAGGAAAGGTCCACCTGCAGCTTACCTGTACTGTAAAAGCCTGCTCTGGCAAGCTGTTCCTTGCTAATCAAGTACCTCCACATCACAAATGATTTGATTCGGTCTTCATAAAATGCCATCGATGGATTATGTGGGATGCTCTCTTCTATTTCACTTGTATCCAGCTTAGCATCACCAGACTGATTTGGGACATTTGCAACATTTCCAACATCATGACCAAGGACAAAGAAACACCTCGGGAAATGGCGTCTGTGTTCTGACCAGGCCTGATCACACGGTTCCCAGTTTTTCAGCTTGCCCCCACAGCAAAAGCACTCCACCTCATCATCAGTGCCAGTATAATATAGTCCAGCCTTGGCCAGCTCCTTGGGAGTGACAGGTGCGTAGGACGGCCAGTTGTGAAAAGTTCTCAACCTCATTTCTTCTTCACACATAGCCGGATTTCTGGGGTACAGAGAATCTGAGAGATCCACTACTTTCCCAGTCCTCAACAGATAATCTGCATAGAGATCAGAGTCTGGATCGACAGGGGGATGGAGAACGTTTCCAGTCAAGCGATTTTCTGTTCTGCGATGACAGTTGGAGAAAACAGAATGCATGTCATTCTGCCCAGCGTTACTGTCAGTAATAAAGCTGCAGTTCGGAGAAATAGTTTTGTGTCTTCCGACCACTGAATCCCCCTGCCGCCATCCTTCTATATTTGCATGACAACTGGCACATTCGACTCTGTCCCCCACCCCCGTGTAGAAGAAACCAGCTTGGGCTAGAGTTGCAGGGGAGACAGGACAGTTGCTTGGGAAATGAGCGAAGGTGTGTTGTCTGGTGTAGGCATCTTGGTTAGGATCAGCCTCTGGAACTGGGCAAGCGCCAGAGTTATCTGGACCATTGCATGTCATCCCGCCTCCACGGACAGCGTTCCTGCCAGTTTCCTAAATAAGAATACAGTTACATTTAGACCTCTAAAAACATTTGAACATCCTCCATACTTAATGTTTATATGAAGCTTTCAAGAAGAACAAGGCACTTCACATGCACCCTGTAAAGTAGGTCAGTATTATTTATCCACCATATTGTAGATTAATGGGGGCGGGAATGGAGAGAGAATGAGTTTCCTAAGGACACCCAAGATGCAATGCAATGCGGATTCCTGTAACCCACTAAACTCAGAGCATTTTCGGCATCCTGTGCTCAGCGGAAAGAGTGCAGAGGCAAAGGTTGCCTCTGCCTTCTCCCACTTTCTGAAGCAGCTAGACAGACAATTTCAGCCATTTAAGTGCAGTACCTCAGAGCAGAGAGGGAAGGAGGCTGAAGCGCCACTAGGCTACATCACAGAAACATAGAAACAGAACGAGTCAGAAGGGGTCTCCCGGGCCATCTAGTCTGACCTCCGGCACCAGCCGGCTCTGCTCACGACATGCCCACCATGTGGACGTCCAGCCTATCCTTGAAAACCTGCACCGATGGGGCCTCAACGACCTCTCATGAAAGCCCATCCCACACCCTCGGGGTCCTAACTGTCAGGAAGTGCTTCCTGGCATCTAAGTGGAAGCTTGGCTCCCTGAACATTGCTCCATTGGAGCGTGTCCTGCCTTCCTCTGCAGGGGAGAACAGGTCTCTACCCATCTCCATGTGACATCCCCTCACATACCTGAATGTCGCCAACATATCCCCTACGAGTCTCCTCTCCTCCAGGCTGAAGAGACCCAGTTCCCTCAGTCTCGCCTCATACGGCATCCCCTGCAAACCGGCCACCAACCTTGTGGCCCTACGCTGCACTGACTCCGACCTGGCTATATCCTTTCTGTAACGAGGGGCCCAATAGATCATCATCTATTGGTGCCGCCAGTATCCTCCCCTCCCATCAAAACTTTTTGCAAATTTGGGGAAGCATCTGGCCCAGCTCTTTCTGCACCAAAGGTGATGAGAAGGGTCTGAGCACAGATTCCTAGCTCTGAATTCAGAGGGACTTTCTAGCCTCAGAGTTAAAATGTGAGACATCGCATGGGCATCCAGAAGCTATCTGGTGCCCACAGGACTGTTCTGCTAGAGCTCATAATTAAACCAGGGGACCATTAAACTAGGAACTTCCCAATGCTGAGTTTGATTTTAGCCGCTATGCTAATGTCAGCTCTGTTTATTAATGGCAGTTAGAATTATTCCTACAGAATTGGACATTCTAGACACCCTAAGAACATTTTAAGAAGGAAGGGGTTCAGGTAGACTACACAATGCTGTACATACACACAGCTGGGAGGGTTAACTACCATGAATTCATACTTATTATCTTTATCCCAATAATTTTTTCATGCAATTGTACTGGCAAAGAAATGCATTGCTCAGTTCATGTTTATTAAGAGTGTACAAAGGTTCACAATGCAAGAACTTGCAATCTGGTTCCATTCAATGGAAGCAAAGGAAACAGAAAAATACAGAAAAGCAGTCTAACAAAACAAAGTAAATTTTCATGGCTCCCAGATTTAAATAACATTAAAATAAGATCAAAGCCAGCCAGTATTACCCATTAACAAGTCTTAATACCTTGGACTTTGCAACAGATTTAGTTGCTTAAGACTGCATTCTTAACTATGACCTAGTAGGCTGTATAGCAGAATAAAGACCTGGGAAGGAAGACTTCAAATGAGGAATACGTTTGGGTCTTTCATCTCCATTAGAATTATACAAACATTAGCACTTGTAGTACTACAGAAATACTTCACTAAACTGCAATACTTCACTAAAACATGCAAATGCAACATTTGCACACAGAATGCAAATGAATCCTTCTTCCAAGATAGCTTGAAGAGAGTTAAGGGAAATATTATCCTATATTCTGGAATAAAAACCTCAAACAATATACACCTTGCTGTAGATGACAAAAACCTTTTTTAACAATCTGGCCAAAGCTCAACTTGAGGATTGAGGAAAAGATTTCACTTTTTCTAGGCTCAGAAGGTATAAGGTCTCATGCTGGGAATCTGCCTCTTCTAAAACTGAAAGGGGGTAAAAGTGCAAATATCAGTTCTGGCTGGTTACTGGGACAATACAAAATGAGAGGATCCATAAACTAAATGCACACACATAAAGGGGGAGGGGGAACATAAAAAAATAAATGTTTTATGCAGCAACCTTGAGAAGTAACTTATTTAAATCTCACTATTCATTCTACCAGTTTTAGACTGCAAAAAACGATCGTGAAAGCTAAAAAATGACTTATTACACCAACTGCCGTGCATGTTCCATTTTGCTAACACAGTGGATATGACACAGCAGCCAAACAATCTCCAAAAGCTGTGATCAAACAAAAACATACAAATTGCCATAAAATACATTGTATCACTGTACATTTCTGAACTCATTAGTCTATTTGTCCTTGTTTTATCTAACAGTTAATAAAGTCTGCCCTGATGCATACAATTTTGGGGGCTCAAGAGATTGTTATGTTGGAAGGTAGTGTGGACTATTTACTTAAGTGTAAAAATAAGCTTGTTGGGTGCAGCAAGTAACTGGCTCTCTCTTGTGAGACCCATCAGCTGTTCTCCCTTGAGCTCTTTTAAAATTTAATTATTCAGAAATCTGTTGTGTAATATGATCAAGCTTTTAATTTGCCAAAATGAAATGCCTGCACAGTTGCAGAAAGGGCAAATACCATCCACTGCCAACCAAGACGGTAGCACACACTTTTACTCCAACCTGAGCAATCTGTGGATCACACACCAACGCAAGATTTGAAAACTTCCAGAGAAGACGAATCCTTGCGATCCTCCAGTGTTTTTTAACCTACGTCAGAATGCCCACCAAGGATCTCTTAAAACTTAAAGTGTATCTACTCTGCTAAGCTCCTGAAGGCCAAAAGCACAATTTATTTTATTGGTGGAAACCACCACCCCAAGTAATTTAAACATCCAAACAAGAAGGGAAACAAGCAAAAGCGAAACTATTTGAATATACGAAGCATGACCTATGTTAACTTTGTTCCAAATTGTGTTCATGCTTTTTTGGAAAGTCCCACAAGTGGTACAAGTAGCAGGGATGTTTATATTAAAGGGAGAAAGCAGGCTATGAAGTAAAACTGGGATTGCATCTTGCCTCCCCAGCAGAGTAGCCTAGAAGCAACATTACTCCAAAACTCTTGGGGCTGTGCATGCAATCTTAGAAACATAGAAACATAGAAAACAGAGCGAGTCAGAAGGGGCCTCCCGGGCCATCTAGTCTGACCTCCGGCACCAGCCGGTTCTGCTCACGACATGCCCACCATGTGGACATCAAGCCTATCCTTGAACACCCGCACCAATGGGGCCTCAACAACCTCTGCTGGAAGCCCATTCCACACCCTCGGGGTCCTGACTGTCAGGAAGTGCTTCCTGGCATCCAAACGGAACCTTGGCTCCCTGAGCTTGGCTCTGTTGGAGCGCATCCTGCCCTCCTCTGCAGGGGAGAACAGGTCTCTACCCACCTCCATGTAACACCCCCTCACATACCTGAATGTCGCCAACATATCCCCGCTGAGCCTCCTCTTCTCCAGGCTGAAGAGACCCAGTTCCCTCAGTCTCACCTCATACGGCATCCCCTGCAAAGTTGGCCCTCTTGAAGTCCCAGCTTCCAGTGCTGCACGTCCCCAGTCCCCTGCTCTCAAAGCAAAGGATGGAGTGATCACTCGCATCCAGAGCTCCCCTAATCTGTACATCATCTATCAGCTCCTCCCTATTGGTCAAGACCAAGTCAAGGATGTTTCCCCCCTTGTCGCCTCTCGGACCCTCTGTGTGAAAAACGCTCCCTCTATAGCTAATATTCCTAGCTATTCATCAAATCGAAATTTCTACTGTATTGCAGGAAAAGGATTAGGGTATGTCAACTGACACACCAGGAAGCATGGAAACACATTTGTCACCATGTTCACCCATGTGCCTGGCAACCGTGGCAAGCAACCGGTGTCCATAGGTCATGGCATATGAGTGCACATTTTTTCCCCATAAGAAGCAAGTGCATAATTCTCCTGTACTTCTACTGAAGGTGCTAAAAAACCCACACTAAACATATGGTACCGAGACTAAAGAAAGCATGGCAGGTGCAAAACACATTGTGTGCAATCCTCATTATGCTTTTGAGAACAAAGTGACGGGAGGAGGTTGGGGTAAACCTGAGATTACTGCCCTAACCTACCTTATGCACCTTGCAAAAGAGGAATTATTCTGGTGGGGCATACTGGGGTATATATGAGTGAACACACTGTATTTCCTTTTCCAGTACCCCCATTTTATAGGGTGGGGCGGGGAAGGAGAAGGCTGGAGGTACAGATCTTGACCAGCAGCATCCGTATCATTTCATCTGACCGCAGGAATGGAAGAGGCGAGGGGCGCGCAAGGGGCACACCGAGACCTCTGCCCCGCAGCGCGCCCCACTAGAAGGTTATGTGGGGCGTCCCCCCTCCCACCCTCCCGCCCGCCCGCAACCAGATGAAGGGCTCGGAGGCGCGGGCTTGACCCCTAAATCCGCCCGCCCCCCCCCCAAAAAGCACGCCAGCTGCGGCCCCAGCCCCGCTCCCCGGCGCAGAGCGGGAGCGGGGCGAGCGCGGCCCTACCTGCGTGGCCGCTCGCCCGCCGCCTCGGCTCCGCCGCCCTCGCTGCCTCCCGCGGCCGGTGCTCCAGGCGCTCTCGCCGGCGCACCAGCTGCTGCACGGGGCAGGCGAGGCAGGCGAGAAAATGGCCGCGGCCGGCCCGGGAGGAGGCGCCGCCTAGCGCCCTGGAAGCCGCCGCCGCCCCGTTCCGCCGAGGGCGCTCTTCGGCGCGGGAGCCAAGCCCCGCCAAGCCCGTGCGCCCCCGGGAGCCTGTTTGGCCAGGGGGGAGGCGCTGCCGGCGTCGCCCAGGCTGCCCTGCGGCTCTCGGCGGGATAAGGAACGCCGGAGCTGCAGGGCCTTTTCTGGGCACGCTCGGGAGGGTGTCCCGAGTTATGTTAAGGCGCAGTCCTCCCCTGTCATTACACAATGAATAAGTTGGGCTGAGTCTGGCCCAGAGTCACCACTAGGCTGCATGGCTCAGCAGGAACTAGAACCCAGATCGCCTGAGTCCTAGGCCTGCACTCTTAACCACTAGGGCACATTGGCTCTCATTATTAGCTGTATAAGATTATGAATTATAATTTATGAATTATAATTTATAATATTAAATATGTATAAATGCTATACATGTATAAATACAAATATCTACTGTTACCGAACTGCAATTGGCAACACTACAAATGTATAGTATGTTAAAGCTTTTAGCATAGTAAACTATATTAAAAATGGTCAATTATGATACAATATATCAAATGCATTATTTTACTGATAAATATTGCTTTGGCTTACTAAAATCACCAATACATTCATTTTCACTTATTGATCGCGGAGTATAACGGCCGGCGCGCCCGCCGCCCCCTCCCTCCCCGCGGCCCGCCCCCTCCCCCCTCCCTCCCCTCCCCTCCCCTCCCCTCGCGAAGTTGTTATTGTTTGAGACTGCGCCGCCGCCGCCGCCGCCGCCGCGGCAACTGCACGGGCTCGCCTTCCCGTCATGCCCGGCGCGGCCAGCCCATCGTCCCCTCTGACCTCGGGCCTGTCGCTCGCGCATCCGGGCCCTCTCAGCGCCACACGGGGAAGATGGCGGCAGCGGCGGCGCTCCCGGCCGAGTGGATAAAGAACTGGGAGAAATCCGGCAAGAGCGAGTTGTGAGTGCGGGGCTCCAGGGGATGGGGGCGAGCCTGGAGCGGGAGGAGGGCGGCGGCGGCGGGGGGCGGCGCGGAGGAGGCGCCGCGGGCCGGGCAGGCAGGGGGCCTGGTGGGGCCGGGCCCACCGCGGCCAGGCTCGACGTGCCCTCCTCCCACCCCCGAGCTGGGCTGTTGCGGGGACTCCGAGGCGGCCCTCGCTTGAGATCCCCCAGTGGCTTCTTCCGCCCCCCACGCCCCGTTTCAGAAGGTAGGCCGTAAGGTGACTTCAAACTCCACTTCTGAACTCCCCCCATCTTCCCGAACCCTGCTGTCTTCCTCCGATCCTCCTCGCTCCGTTATTTCATACGAATCTGTTGTCGACCCTAGTCTTTCCGCCTTCTCCGCCCCATTTCCAGCTTACTAGGTCATTCTAAAACCCAGCCTGCCTCTACAGACATAGGGAGACGTGCGATGAGGCCCATTCTGCTCTCGCTTTTCTCTTCTTTTTCGGGTTTTTTTTCCCATTTCGGGCCTGATACATATCAAAAGTCCATTTTAGCTGTTTTAGGTCCATGGTCATTTCTCTTGCCTGTCTGCCTCCTGCATGTGTCTTGTGTGTGTTTCCTTACTCTCTTTTTCTTACCTTCTGTTCTGTTTCTGTACTTTACCCTCCTAACCCACTTTTCCTTCTCCTCTCTTCCTCCCTGCTGTTTCAGCCTTCCTCCAGTTGACTGTTAACTTAAATGTCATTTTTCAAGTGTGAGGCTGGATTACAATCAACAGCAACAATATGAGAGCAAAGTGACATTGCTTTAAATTTGTGTCTCATAGATGCAGCTTTTGTTAATTTTTACTCTAGTGTGTGTGGGGGGGGGGAACAAGACCTGCTTCCTAGTAAGCCGATTTGAATTGTCTTCCTGAATTAGCATTTTCAAAGTAGAAATAAATGGAAAGATAGCTACTAAGCACATATTTAAAGTACTGTCTGTTTTGATCTTAAAGTAGATTCGTTTGGGAGAGATGCTTAGCCAAAGATTACCCAGTAAGCCTTTGTGACCAAGTGCACTCCTACTTCCAAGTAGATGTGTCTAGGATTGTCACCTGAAAGCAGCTGTCCATTGATTGTATAAAATTTCTAAGAAAACAGTACTTAGGTATAATGCTATAGACCTGTGTATCAGTTTGCTTGGAACTAAGTCTTAGTCACTTTGCTTACACTTTGGACTAGACATTTCTATTTGACAATCAAAAAGTAAATGGCCTGAGGTAGAAACGTTGTGATACATGTGTCATAGTGTACTTCCAGTTGGAGTGCCACCATTTATGCATTGATTTTGAGACTATGATTGGCTAATCTTCTGTGAATGTGGATGGCTTCCTGTGCACTGGATATCTTCGGAGTTAACAAGTTGTAAACAGTTCTTCTATGTAATGAATTGACTGATTTCACAGAGCACAACAACCCACCGACAAGAATTACTGTGGACTGTAAATGAACTGCAAGATGTTACTTTCTGTGAACACACTGTGCAAACAACTTTTTTTTAAAATCCATCAGTAATCCATTGACAAACCATGGATTTTCCTTGTGGGTTGTTCATGGTTTGCTAGTGGAGCTGGGTTCACACAAGAACCAAATGACAACCCATACTCACCCTTGAGTGTGGGTTACTATGCTGCGTGGACCAGCAGTTAAGTTGCCACACCACTCATTAGTTGCTCCAGATCTGATTCCTTTTGACCATGCTTGAAATTCCACAAGAGAACTTGACCTCTTTGTTCCAAAATTTCCAATATGTGATTTTGATTCCAATAAATAGCATTTTGAACAAAGCATGTTCATTGTACATCATTGAACCTGTTCATTTGCAAATGTTGATACAGTTTGAGTTAGAGTATGTTCCTGTCTCCTTAGCAGTACCCACTGCCATCAATTCATCATGTTTACCCTGATAACTGTGGTTTTATCCAAGATTGATAAGAATAAATTTTTAAAACTTACATCAGATTTTTCATTTTTAAAACATTGCAAGAACTATATTTCTCAGTATTCAATATTTGGTGTATAAATCATTTGATCTTACAGTTAATCTTTAAACTGAATAAATGCCTTAATACAACATGTTAAAGGAGGTTTTTGTGAATGTAAGAACATAAGACAACCCATGTTCTATCGGACCATGGGTCTGTCTAGTCCAGCACTCCATACACAGCATGGCATACCACAGGACTGCTTAAGCAGGACGGGTGCAAGACCTGCCTGTCCAAGCTCCTCAGCAGCTGGTTTAGGCAGGCATGCTACCTCTGCTAAAGGAAGTAGTACATAACCAGCAAGAGTAGCCACTGATAGCAGGTTCCTCCATGAATCTGTCAAGTTGCATTTTAAAGCCATCGAAATTTGTGGCCATCATGATTTCCTGTGGCAGCAAATTTCATAGTTTAACTATGTATTGTGTGAAAAAGTACTTCCTTTTATATCTGCCTTAAACCTTCCCCAAATCAGCTTTGTGGAATGACCCCAGGTTCGAGTTTTAGAGGAGAGAGAAAACCCACTTTCTCCACACCATGCATTATTTAAACACCTCTATCATGTCTTCCCTTACTCATCTTTTTTCCCTAAGATAAGCAGCCCCAGTTATGTGAAGAACCAAGTTGATCATTTCTTAAATATATTCTGAATGTTTCATTTTCACCTCATGAAAGTAGCTGATGTTTGCTCAGTAACTATCACCATGGTCATTTCATTTTTGTTTGCTACTTTGTTTTTGTGAAAGTTGTGATGGCCCAAGGCAAAGCAAGGAAGAAAGAAACAACAGTGGAAAGAAGAAAATGCAGACATGTGCACGGCACATGTTCCTAGCTTTCCATACTTGACCTCACAATCTGCCATGGCCCCTTTCCTAAGAAAGACGCACCCTGGGAATATTTTAGAGAAAGTCCCTCTTTAGAAAAAGGCATAATTTTATGTGTAAAATGAATGCAAGGAAACCCTATGCACTGTGACAAACATACCAAGACTGGATGTACAAATGAAGCTGTGTAAGCAATACTGTTGTTAATTGTAAGCTGCCATGATTAATTGCTCAAATTTACACCAGTATATGAAAAAGTATCCCTGGGAAACCTGATTTAAATTTAAGCATCTCCTGATCCTCCAGATGTTTCCCCATACCATTCCCATGATCCTTCACCATTTGCTTTGCTGGCTAGGGCTACTGGAACGTACAGGACAAAACATCTGGAATTGCTCACCACTATATAAATGGAACTTTTCTATCAAGGGTTTTTTTTTGCTTGCTGATTGAAATCAGTGGCAAGTTACCTTTATTTAAATCACCCCTAACTTTATGTTAGCAACCCCCCTCCTTATCTTCGTAAGGCTCAAACAGAAATCTTGCTTCCAAATGTATGTTTGCATGTAACAAAATTCTTAAGTTAAAATCTTGTTCATGTAGCAGCTCTGCTCACAAAAACAACTATTGCTATTCCCCAGGTATCACTTATTTCCATTCTGCTCTTGATATATATATATCCGTGCTAGAGAATAAATCCACACTAAACTGGTTATATTCCAATGTACAGGAATATACAGTGCACAAGAATATTCCAGTTGCCGGAATTGAGGAGGCAGGAAGTAAATTGGTGAGAAGCATCATTAAAGCTAAAGTTACGAATAAACAATTCCAAGCTCGGTATAGGAAGAATTAGCATGATTTCAGTTATAAAAAAGATACACCTGTGCAGTCTTGTAGAATTCTTTGGTGGTGTCACCAGAATAGAAACAGATGAGATACTTTGGCTGACAAAAATGTTCAACAAAGTCTGTCAGTGTAACTTTGGAAAAAAATGACATAGGGAAAATATGGTTATAGTTTATTAAATTACCCATAGATCCATCTTTCACATAATGATAGCAAATTATGGGTTAATTAATTAACCCACCCTTGGGCACTAAGCATCCCAAACTTTCAACTCTTTGTTGCACTTTTCAGGTTGTTACATGACTTCCAAACCAGGAAACAATGAATTGGGGGTTAAACTCACAGTTAACCTTACACTTTGCTATTACACTTTGCATATGCATAGGATTGTGCCCTTAGGTTAACTGTGACTTGTTTAGCCTTCAGTTCACCTATAGTATCTGACTTAGGATGTTACATAGCAGTGCCACATCAGAGTGTGTAGAATAGGCCTGGAACATGCCATGACAGATCATGGATTACTTAACCCATGATTTTCTGTTGTTACATGTGAATGGGCCCATAGTTTAAAGAGTCACTGGAGATATTTAATATAATATGCTACATTCTGTTAATATTGAAATGGTTTGTCAACAATTAGTTTATGTTAACACATAAAATATCATGCCATAATAGAACTTCATAAAGATATTTTTGCTACTACGGTTTAAATTAAGAATAGGATAACAAGAAGATGCACGTTCAGGCTGGTTTGGTTGCTGATATTTGTATCATTTTGAAGTGGTATATGCTCTTGGCAAAATCCCCCAAATGTATTTGGGTTTTATGCAAGTCTGGCTTCTTTTTTAAGTGGTGCCTGGGATACTGTTGAAGGATTGCTACCAAAGTTTATAGTTCTTTGAGTCTAATAGCACAAATGTTTTACTGTTTGAATGAAGAGTTGAAAAATGTCAAGCATCTTATCTTCAAAAAGAGCAAAAGGAAACCAATCCTGTGCTATTAATATTTCTAATCTATCAAAAACGTAAGACTAGATGCAGTATAAGGATCATCATGTAAAATTGACACATCCTGCTTGAAGACATGTGTATTACTCAAGAACCGTTTTCTCACACTGTTGAAAAGGTGATCTGGTGATTCTAGGACACTGTCTGAGGGGCCATAGGATTATTTGAATTCCCAGCTTCAAGATTAGAGTCTGTGGTCAGACCTCAGAGCTGTAAATCAGAACTTTGCCCCATCTTTTCTGCCTTCTTTCAGTTGTCCCCCAAATTTAATGCCAGCTGTTCTCCAAGGTCAGGAAATGGTCTTTGGAGAGTGGTGGGGAAGGCAGGGAGAGGAGGGGAGAAGACCAGAGTGGCCAGGGTCCTATAGGCATCTTGAAGTTACTCTAGCTCCCCCCCCCCGCCCACCGCCCCCCGGAGATACTCCTGCTAAACATGGGAAAGCACATGCCAAGCAAAACTGCAGAATAGGGAAGCAAAGATGACCTCCTCTGTTCCCCCCCACTCTGCATTGGGTGCCTCTGAGATTGCAGGAGTCACAGGCATCCTGATACAATTAGAAGCATAATTGAAATGGGTCTCTAGCTACTAATGCTGTGTTAAAGCAGGCCCCTACCAGTGCACCAGTGCATGAAATCCATGCCTGCAGCATAGCATCCCTGTGTCTACTTTTCTTGAGTTAACAGCCTCTAATGATTGAATTTCCTTCACAAGACAGTAAGAACTTGCTTGTGTAGAGCAACATCAGCAGGGTTAAAGATCGGGGGGGGGGGGTTAGGCGGAAGGGAGGGAAATGACTTAGTGGAGTAGGGTGGGGGTGAGCAGTTGGATTTGGTATTGGGAGGAGGGTGGTGAACAGCATGGGATTGGCAACTGTGAGTTTTCCAGTGCCTCTGGAAGGCCCTACTCAGCCATTATTCCAAACTATGTAGAAATAACAAGTGAAGAGAGTTCAGGGCTGCACGTCTGCACATATGTATCAGCACATGGTGGACCTGTGTGCTCTCTTCCTGACAGTCACATTGACTGTGACTCTTGTACTCTCTTCACACATTATTTCCACATGATTTGGAGTAATGCCTGAGCAGCGGGTTGATTCTCAAGAGGGTTCCCTCCAGTCTTTTCTGTTTATTTTGACTGAAGCTCTTTCTGATTACTCTTTTGCATCCTGTATTTTAGGCCATGAGCACTGGAAGACAAATGAACAGGGGTAAAATGAACATTTAAGACATGACTAGACTGACTTTTCATTGTTTGTGAGAAAATTCCTTTTCAAAATACACATTTAAAATAAAGCTGGTACAGAAGTCTTATGCCCTTCAAATTATCTCACCTCTCTTGACCCACTAAACTCACTTTCTTCGGCAATTACTGAAATTTCCTGACTGTGTTTCTTTTTCACTTTTTGACATGATAAAAATGCTGGGACCCTTAACTCTTGAAGATGCTTACATTGCTAATGTTGCTAGTAGGCTATGCCATTTAATATGAAGGGTTTGTTGCAGGAATAGAGAAGTGGTATTAGAACAACATGTGTGAGAGAGTACACAGATGCAAACAGAATTCACATAAAGCAATATTCTGGTAAATACATACAGGACACCATGGTTAAGACTGAAAAGAAGAAAATACATTATTGGAGAGAGAACTGACAATTTTCCTTTCTTCAAAATTGCACATTCTTTCTTTTACATCCTGTTAATTACTTAAAAAGAACTTGCTGCCCATTCTACCTCCATTTGCTTTCCTCTCTAAAATATTAGATTTATCCATACTTGGGCATTTTGTATTCTAGAATGTTTTGACCCAATCTCTTTGTTCTGTTACACACCGATTGGTAGAGCAGCTGCTTTTCCAGATTTAAGACAGCAGCTGTGTATTGTGCTATAAGTAGTGAATAGATGTGATTGTTGTGTGAAATTATTATACAAGAATTAGCATCAATCAGTTTTAGTATTTTCTCTGTAGAATAAACAGTGCTTGTCACAGCAGTGGATATGAATACAAACAGATGCTAATTTTATTTTTCACTCAGCTTACAGGATGGAAGATAGTTTGAGTGAAATTGCGCTATGCAGACAAAGCATGTTGCAAAGCGCCTTGTCCTGTTTCCATCACCATATTGGAATCTACTGATTAAAAGCAAACCTGTCATGCTACGATTCTCTCTGCTGGTAGATCTTTGTATCCTATGAGAACCTATAGTCAAAGTTATGGAAAGCATATAAGACTCTTCATAAGTAGACACTGGGGTAGTTTACATGATCATCACAGGCTAAACAAACCACAGTGCATGCCAGGCATTAATTGCAGCTGGTTGTGTCATTGGACCTAGATGTAATGGCTTGTTTGAAGGGGAAATAACCCATGGACTGTTATTAGGTTATTTGAGGCCAATTTCCCTCTTAGAAAAACCATCCTGAAAATCCATGAGTTCAACACTTAAAATCAAGAGGATTACATTGCACGCAAAGATGTCTGCTTGCTGTGAATTGTCAGCTCATGCAAACTCACATTCCTCAAATACTGGATAGCTTCTTTATTTAGTTGAGAGTTGTCTAACCCTTAATCAGCTGTTGCTATCAGAGTTTGTTTGTTTGTTTAAAACTTCTCTTTGTGTTTGCAAAACACAACCAGCCATGAAAGGCTGTATGCTACAAAACAATGGGGCCCATGAGCAGCTGGCATGACAGCAACTCCAGCAGCTAAATTAAGCCATGGTGTACTGTTGTGACATATGAACAGGCTCAATATTTAGCCAGTGATTTCCACTCTTTATAAAAAGGATCAAAGAAATGATACCTTTGGAATTTCTAGAAAAACAGTGTTCAGTTTTTTAACTATCTTAACTTTATATTTAAAAATCAAGTTAATTCAGCAAAACACATCATCTCTGAATCACTGTGTGAAAAGTATTAAAAATGCAACAAGCAGCACAATTATCTAGCAATCAAAAGGCAAAATGATGTTCTCTTTGAACAATCCTATATAAGTGCTTTTGTTGTTGTTAGTCGCGAAGTCATGTCCAACCCATCGCAACTCTATGGACAACACTCCTCCAGGCCTTCCTGTCCTCCACCATCCCCTGGAGTCCACTCAAGCTCACTGCTTCAGTGACTCAATCTAGCTACCTCATTCTCTGCTGTCCCCTCCTTCTTTTTCTTTTGAGGCGTTACTTAACGTATTGTGTATATTAATTTCAGAATGGTGAAACTTGTAGGAGTACAGTAACTGAGATAAAAAATCTCAACCTCTGATGATACAGTATTGCAGGAAATCTGCCTAATATTTTTTTCTAATTTGTTTTAATTGGGTTGTTTAGACTGTGTCATGCCCGAAGACATCGTAAAGAATATAGAAACATGCATAATTAAACCATAGGCAAATTTCCATATTTTGGGGGGAACTAAGATATTAAATACTTTCCATTTTTTTTTTAGCTTGCAATTATGTCGTACTCTCTCTGAAAATACAACTTTCAGAGGTAAGTAGATTGTCTTTTCCCCTCTGAATTAATTCCACACACTAGAATTAAACAGCTACAATACCTTTTTGCAGAGGCCAGGAGCCAAAAAACTCCTTGCAATGGTGATGTGGGCCCAAGATAACTTTGGGCTTGTGTCTTGAATAATGTTCATTACCTATGGAATGACTTTCTACTTTTGAAATGAAGGACCTTGAAATTACTTTATTTGCATGAAAGTCTTATTTTAAGCAGAAAAAAATCTGCTAAATGCACACAATCCCTTGAGTTTAAAAGACTGAGCATTTGATGCCCATCCTTGATTTCTGTTGCTAATTAAATAAGGTCCACTTGTACCTAGAGAAAAAGAGAGGGTTCCTGAAGACCTAAACAGGCAAAATTTTACCCCTAGGATTTTACCGAGGGCAAGGTCAGGAATGCTGTAGGTTCTGTTGTCGGAAGGAAATTGTATTTACAAATAAACTTATATTGCTTGCCTCATTTACTTCTGTGGTGAGGGGAATCTCATGAACTGTTTCCTTCCTCAAGCATGTTGGCTCAAAATACTCAAAGTGCCAAGGGATTGTGAAAATACGTATCTTCTTAATTAATTTAATGGAAACAATTTACAAGTTAATATATCACAGCTGTGCAAAATTGGTAAGATTTGCACAGTCTTGTCTAGGTTTTTTTTTTTTTAATTAAAAAGTGGCCATGAGACACTTTTAAAAAAAGCAATTAGTGCCATAATCTTCTGCACACTTTCTGGGGAGTAAGACCCATTGAAGTCAGTGGAACTAAGTTGTGAATAGACATATCTAGGGTACACTGTTAGCATGTTATAGATATAACAGCTAGGCTGTTACGTAAAAGCATGCCCTGTGCACTTTCACCAGAATTCAATCTTCATAATAGAAATAGAATTGCTGTTTTTCTTTCAGTAATGCCCATCGATAATTTTGAAGTAATTAGAATTCTCCGTTGAGTTACTTTTTTGTAAAATGAAATATTGTAATGAAATAAATAGCTTATAAATAATGTTTTTGTTGTAGTTAACAATTGCATTACTCATTGCAACTCCCTTTTGCCCTTCTATTTTCTGCAGGTATCCAGCAAGCCCTGTATGAGCTTGCATATCATGTTGTCAAGGGCAACTTAAAGCACGATCAAGCATCAAATGTTCTCAATGATATTATAGTAAGCATATATTTTGTGGTACCAGTTGAACATGTTAAACTTGCTTACCTTTTCTTGTTGAGCCAGCAAGTCGAGGCTTAAGCCAGACTTAACTTGGTTCCTTTGAGATGTTTTGGACTCTTAACTCCCAGTTGGTTACACTGTCAGGGGCTAATGGGAGTAGATGTCCAAAATACCTGTAGGCAACCAGTGTTGGGAAGGCTGGTCTAAGCATACGCCTTAAAAATGCAGAAATGGAAGAAATCAGAAAATGATGTTCTGCTATAGTTCTTACCCCGGTGCACTCTGCCAGAATGTTCTAAGTGGGATGTTTGATGGTAGCCTATTAATTTTACCTTGTTGAACCAGAAACCGTTTCTGAACTTGAAAAACTGCAGTGGGTTATAATTAGAATTTTATGCCTGTGCTTTAATTAAACGATCCTTATTCTTGATCTAGAATTGAATACTGCTAAGGGCAAATTTCAGGCAAGTGTACTTTAAGGAACTATTGATTTCTAAGGGGCAGAGCAAAACACATGTGTCGACTTAACTTTCCAACTGAAGTCATTGAAATCTCAAGTACCTGACAGATCTGATCTAAGCATACTTTCGGGGTGGCGGGGATAAGCATCCTAATGCCTTTCAAACTGAAGAACAACTCTGGCAATTACACATCATTAGCCATATTGGCTGGAATCATTGGAATTTCTAGTCCAAACCATCTGTAGGGCAACAGGGTACCTTCTACAATATATATTTTCTAGACTGCTATTTCCTTTTTTAAAATAGGAACTTCGGGATGATATGCCCTCTATCCTAGCTGATGTCTTCTGCATATTAGGTAGGTATCCCCCTTACTTTCAGCAGCATTGTTACTTTAAGTACCGTATTTTTCGCTCTGTAAGATGCACCTGACCATAAGACGCACCTAGTTTTTAGAGTAGGTATCCATGGAAAGCTTCCTGATAATCACAGGCACATTCCCCATCACTTCCCCATGGGCTTCATTAAAAGACAGGTTGCCTTTTGAAAACACACACCAACCTGTGATTAACAGCTCTCACCTGTGCCGGAGGGGGGGGCGGAGCAGGGCGTGCCGAGCGCGTGCCGGCCAGGTGCTGCCACATGGTGCAGCCGGGCCGGCAGCGTGCCGGCGGTGGTCTTCCGGGCGACACGGCGGTGGCAGGTCTTCCCGAGCGGTGGGGGTGAGCACTCTGTCTCTCCGTGCGGCTGGCGGGTTAAAGCCCGCGGCTGCTCCTCCACGGCAGGTCTTCCCGGGCGGTGGGGGTGAGCAGTCCGTCTCTCCGTGCACAAAGGAGCATAATTTTCAGTGCCAAATTGAGCATTGTTTAGGGTCTGGGAATGGATTAATTCACTTTCCATTATTTCTAATGGGGAACATTGATTTGGACTTCAAACTATTCAGAGTTCAAATGGCCTCCTGAAACTAATTAAGTTCGAAGTATGAAGCACTACTGTATCTCCCTCAACACCTGAAGTGGTGAAAAAGAAGAAGATGCTAGAAAGCTATATTGAAACATTGCAGGGAAGGAAAAAAATCTAGAAGTAGGCTACTCCTGAGTGGTGTCTGAGAATGTCAAGCAAAAGTTCTCTTTATGCCATAATGCTTTAATTCATTGTACATGCTGTTGCTTAGAAATATGAATTTAGTGTACAGTATTTGCTTGCATTATTACGCTCCATTGAATACAGTGTGACATACTTGTGGGCAAGTAATGATAGGATTGTGCTATAACTAACAGTGGGTTTACTTATGTTTTAAAAAGTTGAAGGATACTAAATTCTGTGGTACTTACTTTATAAGTTGACTTCAGGCAGCAATGTAGGTAATATCGGCTTAAGGATAATTCTTGAAATGAGAAAACTGTCTTCTTCACAAGACAGAAAACTGAAGAATTGCTGTGATAAAATATTGTGATCAATAACACTGATTTCTCTCCTTGGCATAGATATTGAAACGAGTTGCTTAGAAGAAAAAAGCAAGAGGGATCAGTTTATGCAATTGGTGTTAGCATGTTTGGTAAGTGATGATTCACTAAATTTAGCACAAGACAATATGACAACTAATTTCCATATTGGTGGGTATAAAATAGCTTCCCACAACACTCTCTTTAGTTATCCATATTTATTGTGTGTATATTGAGCATACCATATGTCATAAGATAGCAATGAGTCTTCAGTTCATTATGTCTGGGACAGTACTCTATACAATTCCTGTATGAGAAGTGAAATACACAATGATTTTCCTTGGGCTAAATTTTCATATTGATCGTAAATCTGAACCTGAGCAGTTGTACTACATTAGACTTCAGGTCATGGAAGTGGAAGGAGTGGGGTCAAGTATCTAAATGTTCCTGAGCATGCACAAAAATCATATGTTTATGTTGTGTTCATTTTCTGTGCTGTTCTGTTTCTTCACAGTACTTGGTTTCAGATACTATACTAAAAGAACGACTGGATCCAGAAACTCTAGAATCATTAGGGCTCATCAAGCAGTCTCAACAGTTTAATCAGAAATCTGTGAAAATTAAGACAAAACTTTTGTAAGTACAAGAATATATTCTTGTTAAGCATGTTTAAGAAATAAACAACTTTTTTATTTGTTTTTAAGTACAACTTTTTTTAAAGTAAATGTTCAAATCATAATTTCCTGTGTTTCAGTTTTTGAAGCCTACGCCTTCTGACACAAAAGCTATTTTTCCATACTTAAAGCATTTCAGCTTATTCTCAGAAGTTTGCCAGTTTCTTCGTACAGTTGCAGAGACTTGTAACCTACACTTCCCAGCTGACATAATTGACATTGTCTGTGTATGAGTGAGTGAAATGCCCGTTTGTGTGTGGCAAACAACAGAGAATATGCAGCTGAGTGGTCAAATATCAATAAGTTAAGATATAAAGACTAAAAACAGTATAAATAATATCATAATACAAAATCGCTTGTTAAAATGTCTGGAGAGGAGGGCTGTTTTTGCCTGGCTCTGAAAAGATTGTAAAGATGGCACCAGGCAAACAACCCTTACCTTTCTCGACAACAAACTAAGCTGTTATTTGAAAAAAAAAGTGTTTGACATGTATGGAAGTTTAATATAGAAAGTTCTGGAGATATCAATAGAAAGTTTACGAGTTTAGCATTGATAGCAGTGCTAGCCTTTTGTAATACTGAAATATATACCTGTTTGTTTCTTCATTTTGTCTAATTGTAGCTATAAGCAGCAGAAGTTCAATTTATTACGAGAAGAGAATGAAGGTTATGCAAAACTGATTGCCGAGCTGGGACAAGATTTATCTGGAAATATCACTAGTGACCTAATCCTAGAAAATATCAAATCTTTAATAGGTGAGACATGTGTGCTGACGCAATGGCTGCTCTTGACATTTTTCCTGTAAAACTGTGATGTGGTTCACGTTCATCTCAATAGTAGCATATATATATGAAGCATTTGTTCAAAATATCTAAATGAGGCTTGTTTTAAAACATTTGTGTCTAATCAAATTTTAAATTGTCTCTCTCTAAATGGGATACACCTATAACTGATATGATATTCTATGATAAAAAGCACATTCCTATAAATGTACTGATAGTGCTGTATTTGATCACCATATACACATTGTTTCCTTGATATAATTGAATTTATTGTCGGTTGCTTTGTGCAGAAATAACTTCGACAATTCTCTTTCTTTCATAGGATGTTTTAACTTGGATCCTAACAGGGTATTGGACATTATCTTAGAGGTCTATGAATGTAGGCCAGAATATGATGAGTTCTTTGTACCACTGATAGAATCCTACATGTATATGTGTGAGCCTCAAACACTTTGCCATATCCTTGGGTTCAAATTTAAGTTCTATCAGGTAATGCAAATATTTATAGCTTAGCATTCCTTTGTGATAGTATTTTGCCAATTAAAGCAGAATGGAATGTAACCTGAGAATGATGTGAGCAGCTTTGAGTTAGCTGTAAGAAAAACGGTAGGACATAAATAAAATAAACAAATAATAGTCCTGATGGCCATATGTTGCCCACCATATCAGAGGCATCATGTCCCTGTATACCAGTTGCTGGGCAGCTGTCGCACTGCTATCCTACCTGCTGATTTTCTGTGGGCATCTGGTTGACTGCTGGATAAGGCGGACCTTGGCCTGCTCCAGGATGGCTCTTCTTATGTTCTTATGCTTCTAGAAAATTAAATTATTTGTTAGGAAGTTTAAGCACTAAGACTTTTTTTCAAACAGTTCCATAATATTTGATCATGATGCCATTGTACAAACTGCCAGGTTAAGATGCATCCTCTGTGAAAAGCAGTTTTTAAAAAATGAAGGCAACCTGTGTGATTTGTGTAATACTCTAAATGGCCTTTCCGATATTATACTTCTGTTTTTAGGAGCCAAATGGAGAGACACCTGTTTCTTTATACAGAGTTGCAGCAGTACTTTTGCAACATAATCTAATTGATTTAGAAGATCTTTACGTACATGTAAGTTATTAAATAGAATTAAATGCTCGTTTTTATCATATGTGGCTTAAAAATTGATCCTCTCAAAAACATTAAATAAAAAAGAAGGTGATGAGTTGGCCTATAGCACTGTGAATAAACATTACTGTTGGCAGTTTGCCATTTTGTTCCCACATTTTAGAAAATAAAAACTGAATTAAAGTAGTGCTGCTGGAGATTGCATGGTTCGTGTAAACATATCCTGATTTGTAAGCAGATTTTTAACCACCATTTCTTGATTCATGTTTCACAGGAAAGTGTAACTTGATGAAGAACTATGTCTTACTTGAAGATAAGCTCACATGGGGAGATAGAAAAGGATGGGCTGGGGAAGCACCTGGTCCAAGGCCTGATCTGACTTTGGCCTTAATTTTGATTGTGTTTATTTTTTAAAAAAAGTAGTTGTATTAATTGCTCTTAGCTCCAGTATATTATGTGTCTGGACTTCAATGGATGTTTTTATCAGTTCATTTTATATGTTAGTGAATCTCTAAATTGTGCTTACAGCTCCTTCCATCAGACAATGCTATCCTTGAAGAACACAAACGAGAGATTGGAGAAGCTAAGCAAATTGTGAGGAAGCTTACAATGGTTGTATTGTCTTCGGAAAAGACGGAAGAGAAAGAGAAAGAAAAGGAGAAAGAAGAAGAGAAAACAGAAAAGGTAAGTTCCAGTAATGTTTTAGATTGTAAATCTGACACACTCATTGCCATGAGATCAGATTTGTGGTCCCAAAAAAATCAGTTGGATACAGAACCTCTTTTAGATAGTAGAGAAATACTCTGTAGCTAATCTAGAGCTCATGGACAAAAGCAGCAAGTTATGATCCAATGAAACCCAAATCCTGTGATGATGATGATATACCATTAAACTTTGGCTTGTCTTTCTGCCTACCTCTACCGCTATTGGAAGTATCTTAATTTCTGACCGAAATTAACATATTGATATGCAGTTCGAAAGCATGCAAATGCAAGTAGATGAAAAGGTACCACTTCGGTGGGCAGATAACAGCGTTCCATGCACTTCGGTGTTTAGTCATGCCGGCCACATGACCACTGCGGACAAATGCTGGCTCCCTCGGCTAGGAAGCAGAGATGAGCACCGCCCCCTAGAATCAGGCATGACTGAACGTAACGTCAGGGGGAAACCTTTACCTTTTTATGCATATTATGTAAGCTTAATCAATTAGAAATCAGGTTGTTATTAAGGATGATAGCCCTAATATTTTGCTGATGAGTGGGATACCACTAATTGATGTAAAGGTATATAAAAAACTTGATTCCTCAGTATTGCCCAGTTACTCTGTAGGGAAAAAACAAAATTAAAATTGTGCTACATGAATACTCATCTCTGCTTTTCTATCTTTTCAGCCACCTGATAACCAGAAACTTGGTTTATTAGAAGGAATGTTAAAAATCGGGGATTGGCAGCATGCACAAAGCATTATGGATCAGATGCCTCCATTTTATGCCACTTCACACAAACCTATTGCTGTTGCTCTTTGTCAGCTTCTTCATGTGATGATTGAACCTCTCTACCGAAGGTGAATGGTGTCTATGTGCTAAAGAAATTGAATAGATTATATACAAATTACGCATATTTGTACAGATTGGCTGTGGTTCATTGAAACCCCATTAGCCTTTGATTCAGCTGCTGAACTGTTATGGAATGTTAATATTCCTAGCTGTTGAGAAGTCTGAGAAACTTGGAACACAGGCCATGGAAGTGATGGGACTTGCTTTTATAGGGATTTTAAGTACAGGCAGTTCCTGGGCTATGGAGAAATTCCTTTCCTGAAGATGTCCTTAAGTCAAATTTGTATGTAAGTCAGTTCACACAAGTAAGCCAAATGTTTTTTGTTAGGATATGTGTTTATCTTTCTTTGCATATACAACACTTAGGAAATGCTTCCATGTTCACAAAAACATCTTAAACACAACACAGCATTGTTATAATTATAATACAGTAATAATAAAGTAACTACAGGTACTAGAGAGAGAGAAAGAGAGACAGAGAATCTGTGTATATATGTGTAGGTATATAGTACTGAAAAAATTGCTACAACTTGCCTTTCATGCCTGGCTTAATCATCTGTCCATCTTTAACGCTAATGTAAACCCAATAGAAAATAACTTGGATTTTTAAAAATGACTTACCAGATCCCTGTTATCTTCCAGGGTTCTCTGATAATGGCTTCTAGGACAATATATTCCTTTGCCTCCTTATTACATTCAAAACACTTTAGTCCAAGGCAAATTAGTCCCAGTGGGTGTGCATGTATAGGAGCAGAACTGGCTGAGCATTTGTTGAGCTTCCAGTTTCTGATGGAGCACAAGACCTGTGTGGAAAAGGGGGCAAACGTATTGTCTGAAGTATTGAAGAGCTCATTGGAGAAGGTGAAAACACGTAGTCTAAGAAAATGGGTTTCTGTGACTATTGCTAAACTCATTGCAGAGTTCCCTTGAGATATTTACAGCTTTTGTGAGAGGTATTTACACAGGGTTTGTGGAAGTCTGCACATTTGCAGGTACGGATTGTTTGTAACCCGGACATTCCTAACCCAGGGAATACCTGTATTGAAAGAAAATAAAAGATGACATACCTAGGTGCTCTCTGGACTAGTATCCTGTGCAAAACATAGTCACCTAACATTTAAACATTAGAAAGGAAAATTTTTAAGTTTAGCTTCCAGCATTCCATGGTCAATGTGTTTTTCTATCTAAACATACGTAGGACTGTTGTTTATACCTCTAACATACCTCATAGGGCAGTATAGAAATAAAATTCTTCATCATCTAAGGATACAAGACATAGTCTGCAGATCTAGGTGTCGGTATTTCTATCTCTTTGTCATATATTTGTTATGAACTTTTTCACAGAGCCCTCTGTTTTGGGATGAATCGGCCCTTCCATGTTAGCATAGACCCTGTTTATTAAAGTACTTGGGCAACTTTCCAGTGTGTTGAGTAAACTCTAACTTGGCTTTTCTTGCTGGCAGGGTTGGAGTACCTAAAGGTGCCAAAGGGACACCAGTTCCTCCTCTGCAAAACAAGAGAGCACCCAAGCAAGTAGAAAGGTTTGAAGATTTAAGAAAGGAAGTCTTCAACATGTTGTGTTACCTTGGCCCACATCTCTCCCATGACCCCATATTATTTGCAAAAGTGGTGCGTCTTGGGAAAGCTTTCATGAAAGAGGTTGGTAAGCCTAAATCAGTCAAGCAAAAAGAAATTAAGACTGTTCATGTGTGCTGCTGAAATAGATTAGGTAGATCTTTAATATGCAAATCATATATACTCAGAAAAGTAAAAGAGCAGAGAATCCTGGAAAAGTTTTTCAAAGGAAGCTTTCAGTTAACTTAGGATCCCTAAGCCTTTAGTGATAGTGAAAGATATTAGGCTCATAAAAGCTGAATGGTGATTAATGGATAAATTTTATTTAAATATAGATATGAAATGGAATGTATTTCCTTGCTGATCTCCAGTATATTGTTATGTAGAACAATAAGTTGCCCAGTTGGCTTTCAACCTAAAATGAAACAAGTTAAAATTCATTGACAATAAAAAATTGTATCTGCTACAACTGCCATTGCTCCTTTCCTCCACTTCGCCTTTCATTTTTTAAATTACAGGTAAGCTGTTTTGAAAGGCAGGTGTTCCAAGAGGAAAAGCATTTAATATACACTCCCAGTGTCTTAAAATGCTAATTTGGACAATAAATACTGGAAACAGGTATGCAAGATGAAGCTTTTATGGCATTTAGAGCCAGGGTGTTTTTGCAGGAGTTCCCTATCAAACAGGTTCAGAAACCATTGTGTTTGCCTAAAGCAAATGTAGAGGAGGATAACAGCCAACCTTTATATTATCAGAAATGGAGATTAACTGTTGCTTCACTGGCTTAAGTAAGCAATCCCAAAATGTATTGCTAGATGTAATCTGATACCTGCAACTCTGACTCATTCATTCAAAATACAAATCTCCATTTTGGATGGGGTTCTATCTATACTCTAGCCCTCATGGCCACAGCCTCTGCCCTGATGTTAGGAGCGTTCTTCCCCCATCCTTTACTTTTTGTGCCTCTTCACCTGTTCTACAGGATTTCAAGCTTGAATTTTTGTTTTGTTTTGCAATTTGGAGATGGGTCTGATAAAGGTATTGCATGACTGTGGATTTGGTAGAATAAAACTTCTGTTGCCATTCTTTTGAGAGACTAAGTGGTAACAGCAAACTTTTGATACAACTGATCTATTGAACAGTGAAGTTCTTGGTTTAAACTAAGTATGTCTGAACTAGAAATTCTAGTTCAGTCAGTCAGTCACTCACTGAAAAAAACATTATTATAAAGCACAGTTTGATCCTGGTTTGTTTTAATAAACCTTAATGTAAACCAACCACATTTTGGCCTTTTGAGGCATAATATTAAGGCATGCTTAAAAACAGGAAGCAGATATTTCCAAGGCTCTCTTTGGTATGCCAGAGAAAAGGAGAAACTAGACCAACTACATCTAGTAGGTCTAAATTGCTTCTAAATTCTAAATACAAGAAAAAAGCTAGATAGATATCTACTAAATAAAAGGTTAGAGATAAGTCCAAGCCAAGCTGTGGCTTCTAAAAGCCACCACAAGACTATACCTACAATTGTAGCTAATTTCTGAGGTCTGCCATAGCTAGTGATGGCTAGAGAGCTATATTCTACCTCTCCATCCATTTTCCATTCAAACGTACTGGAGGAAATTACTTTTCAAGCATCATTTCTTTGTCTTCAGTAGCAGGCAACCAAGAAATTCAGGGCTGCCAGTCCTTTTCTTTGTGCTTTGGAAGGGAAAAGAGACAAACTTCTGTTGAGTGTAACTTTGGCTTGGAACCATTACATTTTAGTTTTAGTTTTTCTTTCTTTCAGTACCAATCGGATGGAAGCAAACAAGAGGATAAAGAGAAAATGGTGAGCTATTTCAAATGTATTCATGTATAATATTTATGTAGGTCTGAAGGGTTACTAGAATAACCCCTTTCACCCATGTCAGCCTGCCTGCACTTTGAGATTGAGCTTGCCTCCCAGTCTGTAAGAGCACTTAGGCTGGTGACCGTACAAAAGTTGGCCTTTTCCACACAATAAGATGCTACTGGGAATGTGCCAGACTTCATTATTCCACACTTTTAAGAGGGCCTAGAAAGCATAGTACTTTAATCTAGGCTTCCACTGATTATGTTTTATCAGAAATAAATGTAGCTACAGCTCTCTGTTGCAAGCTGCACTCGACAGAGCTATTCCTGTGAACTGCCAGCTGTCTTGAAAGGCAGGAGGCACAGAGTTTCTGAATAAACAAATCCATTTTATAATTTCTACTTACAAGCTGTACAAGTCTAACATTAAAGGTCCAAACATCTGCTTTTCATTCCTTTAACCATTCTGAGGCAGATAATGTTCATTGGGACATAACGTCATATGTTTGATGTGGGGAGCAGTTAGACGAGAGGGTGCTAGTGATTTCAGTGTATCACATGTGCAATATGCATGGGCATTGCTGGGCTTTCTCTTTGCTCTTCCCATTCCCTGGTGGACCTGCTAAATATTTCTTTACCACCACCGCCTCAGTACAAAGCACAGTTTCGTAGTGCTTTAACTCATACAGATGTGCCATTATACAACCACACCAAGGAGAACAGGTGAATTCTTCCAGCCTGTGTGCATTTTGAATGGTAGGATTGTAGAAAGTAACAGCTTACAAAACATACGATCTTTCTTTTGCCTTTTTAACTTCATTTATGCTTGGTTTTTTTCTCCACCAGTTTAATGCAGACTGGCACAGAGAATTTATACTAAACATACTAACCTATAGTTTCATCCTTCTTTGTTATGGTTTTAGTGATTTGATGTAGAGTTTGTAGTCTTTGAACAAAACCAGATAAAAAGGAAACAGTAAAATTGGGTGGCTTGGACTTAGCCTAAAAGGGTTAAGTATTTTAAATAGCACTCTTTTTCTTTCCTTCGCAGGAATTATTATTCAGTTGTTTGCTGAGTATTACCGACCAGGTTTTACTTCCTTCTCTTTCTTTGATGGACTGTAATGCTTGCATGTCTGAAGAATTGTGGGGGATGTTCAAAACGTTTCCTTACCAGCACCGGTGAGCAATTACCTGGAAAAGGTTTATATGGAAAGACATGGTTTTGTTTAACAAAATTGTTTTAATTGCTTTTTGTCATCTTACCATTCTTCAATAGGTATCGCCTCTATGGACAGTGGAAGAATGAAACGTACAATAGTCATCCCCTGCTAGTGAAAGTTAAAGCTCAGACCATTGACAGAGCCAAATATATAATGAAGTAAGTTATGTTCATGTTTCTTTTTATGGGACGCATAGGTGAGATTATGACCCAGTTCGTGTTTGAAAACAAGCAGTATAATGGTTCTCACCTAATTCCTCATGCTGAATAATCAGACCTATCCTGTCTCTAGGTTGTTGACTGGGATTACAAATCTGGACCTTTGGGTTGTTAAGAAAAAAACACCAGAGTTTGAGCTCATGAGTTGTCCCACAGCAATCCAGATTTCTGAGTTCTCATGCAATAGACATTCATGGGTAGTTTAGCAAAACAGAAGTGGGCAGGTGATTGGGAATTACTTTGGTCACTTGCTTCTGCATCCTGCAGTACAGTCCATGATTAACAAACCATGAGTTGTTTGTTGCATGTCAACTAGTTCATCAAGATCACATCGTCCACTCCCACACATGCTTATTCAGAAGTGAATCTCATTCCTTTCGGTGACGCTTACTCCCAGAATAAGTGTATGCTGTAACGCAGCTTATGTATTTGACAGTGATTTTGCCTGCTATTACAAATTAATTTCACACCTTAAGTTCTTTTAAAATTTAATATTTTATATTTAACAGCTTTCTTGGCATTAATTCAAATGTGTTGCCTGGCAAATTTATTAAATTTAGTATCGGATTGTTTTCAGCTTTGTCTGATGCTTAAAGAATTTATTGACCATTATCCAACCAGTGTTAAACACCTGTAAGTTCCATAGCTTTCAGTGGAAAGGATTTCAGCATGCCTTAGGTTTATCATTGAAATCACTGTTATTGGCAAATACTGCACTTTGGATTGTGCTTGTAGTGAAACGTTTGCATGGGGTGCATTCCGTGGTCACAGTGTTTATGTTAAGTAAATAGATAACCCAGCAGGTCCCCTGAGGCTCTGCCAGAGTCACTGACTGTCCCTGTGCCCTCACCTCTGCACTTTGTTCTGCCATGGCACCATCATGTGAACTGCTCCGTTCTTCCATGTATAGATGCCTCTTCCTAGATGGAGGTGCTTAAGCTGCATCCCATCCCATCCCAGAGCAGTGTCTCAGTACAGGTGGTTACTATCAGAGTAAGAAGTTCATAATCTGAGGGCCTGGAACTCAGAGATTGGGGCTATGCTGTTTTGATTAATATTAGTTTGAATGGTAGGACACTGACCTGCCTCAACGCTTAATTGCATGTTTTCTTTTTCACAGTATTTTCTGTAATGATTGGCTTTACCACTGTCAAAGTTGTTCCCCGATTTTAATTTATATTGTACTGAACTCCAAGACAAATCACAGAAATCCTATATGAATTATGTCTATAATATACAAGTTTTTCCTTGGAATGAAGGAAAGGCCAATCTTAGAGCTGCATTTGCTGGAAGATAAGAGCAGCTAATAGGAATCTAAAGTTGCAAAGAGAGGGAATAAAGGTGTTATGTTCACTTGCAGGCGCTTAACCAAGGAAAATGTAAAGCCTTCTGGAAGACAAATTGGGAAACTGAGCCACAGCAATCCAACCATTTTATTTGACTATGTATGTGCCAAGATAAGTACTGACATACTTTTGCTATAGCAGTAACCCTGCTGATGCTGTCTGGTGCAGAAAAATAAACTGTGTATTTTTACATATATTATTGAGTGCTAAGATCATAATTTATGATGTAATACTGAATTTTTTTAAAAAACTGATTGGTGTGCTAATATAGTATAGCTTGATTTTTTTGGCTTTTTGCATAATGTCACATTTGTTTTTAGAAAGCAGTTGTTAATTGCCTGACAGTATCAGCTATTGGATGATCTTGAAATGTGATAAGTAAATAAACCAGAATTTTATTTGTAAAAATAAGGACTTGTGAGATACCTTAACACTTCATAAAACTAATTTAACTTTTGTCTGTTCAGATTCTGTCTCAAATACAGAAGTATGGTAATTTAATAACTCCAGTTGTAGACTCATTGAAATACCTCACTTCACTGAACTATGATGTCTTGGCGTGTATCCTTTTGTCGGTTCCTAGAACTGTTAGTTGTCAAGTAGTCACATCTTACACATTTTGATGCCTCTGTATCTCTTTCTGTCATCTCTCACTTGCTAATATTAGCCATCTTAAGCGTGCTGGGTTTTGATGTATTAAAGCTGAGCTCTGGAATTTGATCACCTAGAGAATGGCTGCATTTGGTGGTAATAGTTGCAATTGGTTAATTGGTTAAATAGTTGGTTAATTAACCTCCACATTGTGCAGATGTGTGCTGTGCATGGATTACTTGTTTCCAGCATCTGCCCAAAAGTACAGTCTCTAAAGCTAGTGACTTGACATTGTTTGTGGTTACCCGTGGTTTGTCATTATTTTGGCCGTTTGACCCCTGAACAGCCCCAGATGCCCAGTTTCAGAAGGCACAGAAACAACCTACAAGTGCTACATTTATAAGTGGCTCATATGCAGTGCTCATCCTCACAATTTATGGGTTAATTAACCTTCAGACTCTTCCTGGATTCTGCTGTTCCTTCTGAACTATACCTGCTTCCAAGCATAATTTGAATAGGCTGTTTCAGTAAGAATTTCAGTAATTTTAAGGCGTTGCCACTGGAATTCTTCATTGTTTGTTGTAGATTTCTAACACTTTAGACTCATGAACTGCTGTCAGAGTGAAAACTCTGCGATGCAGGTCAGTAATTCAGTCAGGCAGCCCCATCACAGATCTAGAGGTTTGTAGCTTTTTCCAGGTAATCACTTAAAGGAGTTTCTTGTAATTTTTGATTTTACATTTTAATAGAGGTTGATGGAATGAATGGGAAAATGTTCTCTCTTGAACTTGTGGTGCAAAGGGGAATTGATGGGTGAATAAAATTTGAGAATATCTCAAAACTACAAAGAGACCCTCTTTTGTTCTCTCATTACTCTGGGGCTTGTTTCCTGGTGTCAGTTCCTACCTCTAAATATAAGGCAATACTAAAGTAGATATATTTATAAAATGCTTCTTGCTGTAAATGATTGATCTTTCTAACACAAGTGTCTAAGGGGGTAATCTTGCTTAACATCTGCAAAGATTGCATAATTGAAGCACTGGCTAATCCTGAGAAGGAGAGGATGAAACACGATGACACTACAATCTCTAGTTGGCTTCAAAGTTAGTATTTTATTTTATTTTATTTTATTTTATTTTATTTTATTTTTAATCAAACTTATGGAGGCCAGTTAATATGTTAATTAAGCATTTGTAGCATTAAAGGAAAATCCATGTGTTCTAACAAATGTTGAATTTTTGTATATTAGAGAAAATTTATTTCTGATTGAACTAGAATAAAAATCAATAGCCATCACTCTCCTGCTTATAACATAAGCAAATAGATGCAAATCTGCCATCAGCATTTGGGCAATTTGAGAACCTGACAGAACAAAACTGAAGGTCACTAGTAAGGAAGTATGGATTGCATCTTTGGGTACTGCTGTTGAAAAGCACCTTCCCTTGTGGAGCCACCCACGCTTCACACTTCAGATGGAGGAACATACAAAGTACAAGCTCCAAAGTTGAATATAATAGGTAGATGAGCTTCTTACTACCAAGTGGCATCCAGCAGCTTGACAGCTACTTTCCTGTAACTCCCCCTGTACTTGTGTAAAATTAGGATCCATAATATATCTAGATTTGGCCAGTGACTTGGTTCCTCACTGCCTTATTATTGCTCAGAAGAGAGGCCAGGTGATGGTACAATTGCACTGCCAGTAATATATAAATCAGTTCCCAGAGTTACTAAGGTATGTGAAACAGTTTCTAAGTATGTTTTATTAGTGGCAACTTAAAACTCCATATGCAGTGAACAAATGTATGTGCCATTTAAAATACCACATTGACAGCACTTGGAGGTATTAACTGTTTCTTTCTTTTCATTTACTCTAGGCTTAGCTAGTTTCTGTGGTGCTGTTTTTCGAAAATATCCTATAGAACTTGCTGGTCTACTGCAATATGTGGCAAACCAGCTAAAAGCTGGGAAAAGGCAAGTAGAGCGTTGTTACTGTAGATCTCAGACATATGTCAGTTTTGCAGCTGCCATGCAGAAAGATTTTAAATGGTTGTACTTAATGTGCCATTGCAAAGTTTAAAGCTAAGTATTTTAGGTTTATATGTGTTACATGCTGTCAAATTGTCTCTGATTTATGGTGACCTTGTAATGAGTGTCTTCCAAAATGTCCCATCCTTGACAGCCCTGCCCAGTTCTTGTCAACTGAAGGCTGCAACTTCCTCTACAGAATCAATTCTTCTCATATATGGCCTTTGCCACCTTCCTCTGCCTTCAATTTTCCCTATCGTTAATTGTATTCTGCAAGTCTTGCCTTCTCACAATATGCCCAAAGTACGACAGTCTCAGTTCTGTAATTTTTCCTTCCAGGGCAAGTTCTGGCTTGATTTGATCTAGGACCCACACATTCATCTTTTTATTGGTTCAGGGTATCCACAAAGCTCTCCTCTGGCATCTTATATGTAAACATAGTGAAACATAAATGACTATGTTATGGTATTCAGCATTCAGGGTTAGGTTGTTTTTAGTGGTTATCCTCATATTAGCTGTCACATGTGATAACTTATTGTTCAGGGCTGCCCCTGCCTTGAAGAAAAATGGTTTGTGTTTCATATGTACGATATTTCAAAAAATGCACATTCACTTAGAAGTATCCTAACATTGTTCGACTAGGATTAGAAATGAGCTTTAAATAACTGTTTAGGATACCTATGATCCAGTGCCCCTTTTTGTCCTCATGCTTTTCCACAGCTTTGACCTGCTTATTTTGAAAGAGGTGGTACAAAAAATGGCTGGAATAGAAATCACTGAAGAAATGACAATGGAACAGCTGGAAGCCATGACTGGAGGAGAGCAGCTGAAAGCAGAGGTGTGTTTATGGCCAGAAAGAAGAGAAAAACAGATGCCACACAAACATAGTACTGGTAGATGAGGATGTTCCTCCTGTTGTGATGTATATTTTAAAGTAGATGACAAACTGATTATCTCAACTTGGGTAGAAAAAAGTAGCAGCTATATATTGCAATGATGTAGCAGCAATCCAGATCAAGGTATACACACCTGCTGTATTTGTAATGCTTGTTGGCTTTTAGCCATGGAGAAAGTATCGGGAATGTTCTGCCGGATAGCCTTTCCCTCCTTTCTTTGGCACATGTTTGCCCATCTATAAATGCTGTTATCTTTAACCAGATTTTGTTAATCAGAGTTTTGAAAAACCATCTTGAAACCTGATCTTGAATTGTTAACAAACAGAGGTTATGCTTGGTATTTGACCTAAGCTTCAATCACAGTAAAGAGTGGGATTGGTGCTGGAAAAGAAATTGATCGGGAAGGGAGTGCAAGTTTTATGACCTTCTAATTTCACTAATTTTCCATATGCACCACTCTTAGTTCTTCAGTTCAAGAGAAGCTTTATTGGCAGACAATGTAAAAGCCAAGCACCAGGGTTTGCTGCTACCAGTAAATTTTAATGGTACAATTTGTGGTTAGTGTTTCAGGCTAGTGAGTTTGTGGCACTTCTGTCTGAACTCAGTAAGAGTGTCTATTAGTGCCATGATGATGAGCATACAAAGACCCTTGGAAGGCTGTTCTTCCTTCTCCTTGCCCATTCTTTTGCATCTTCAGAGTAGTTTCTGGTTTCCCACACGTAATTTTGCCCTTGCATCCAAATGGGTAAATTGGTTTGTATTTGTCTTGCAAATTAGGGTGGCAAACTAGGATATGATCCTGGTTTAAAATACAATCTATAGATAAAAGAGCAAAGCATTGTTTGCTTAAGCCAAGAAATGGCTGATTATTAGAAAAGTGCTAGAGAGATGTGGAAGGACAACATGCAAACCCAAGCATCCTGAAAGAGTGTTCTTGTACTCTCAGCTGTGGTTTTGCATTGTGTCTTCACTCTCAAATCTTTGTTGCATTTCCAGTTTGGGTACCTTTAACTTTCCCTCCTTTGCTGGGCAGGGTGGATATTTTGGCCAGATCAGAAACACTAAAAAATCTTCTCAGAGATTAAAAGATGCACTTTTGGACCATGATCTTGCCCTTCCACTGTGCCTTCTCATGGCTCAACAGCGAAACGGTGTCATTTTTCAAGAAGGAGGGGAGAAGCATTTGAAGCTGGTGGGAAAGCTCTACGATCAGGCAAGTAGATATATTCATGCTAGCATTTCTTCAAAATCTTAAATCCTTCAATATTCCCTGTGCAGAAAGCCATTTTTAGAATATCCACTTTATATGCTGCAGTGCAGTGGTAGTTTGACTGGCTAGTTTAGTTTCCAGTATTTCATACCACCTGCAAGACAGGAATCTTCCTTGGAGCAATTTCAGATATAACAATCCTTTGCCATGAATAATTTGTTGTTCTGTTTGAGTTGATAACCAATTCTGCTGGCCTGTGCAACTTTGCAAGTTGCACTTTGGGTATGGTCTTTGACAGCACATTTAGTTGGCTATGTGGGATTGTAGTACTGAAAACTCCCCTGGGTGTTTGGAAGAAATGTCAGTGGGGTTTTTTTTAAATTGAGGAACACATCCATATTTTGTCTGTAGTTTCTATGTTAGTGCAAATTGGAGTGATTTACTAGCTGTTGTATTGATTTTTAAAATGTTACATATTATTTAAAATGATGGTACAGTTTTCTTCTGTACGTTCTTTACTGAATTCCCTATGTCTCTGTGTTTTTCTGCTCAGTGCCATGATACCTTGGTACAATTCGGTGGATTTTTAGCATCCAACTTAAGCACAGAGGATTATATTAAGCGAGTGCCTTCCATTGACGTTCTCTGTAATGAGTTTCACACTCCTCATGATGCTGCATTTTTCCTCTCGAGACCTATGTATGCCCACCATATTTCAGTAAGTACAAATGTTCCCTTGGCTTGCATTCTAAATATGCAATACTGGCAGTTTTATTGAAAATTACATCTGTCATTCAACTGATCCTTTTAGGGAAACCTTGCTGAGACTGGTAATATATTATTTTCAATGACTTGTGCAGTTTAGAGGTGTGCTGACTTAATTTCTTGGGTTGGGGGTTCTTTATTTAAATATGAGCAGAAGAGCTACAGAAGTGAATTTGTATTTTGTGAGAGAAATGAATAATCAAATGTATATGTATTTTTTTTACAATCAGTCAAAATATGATGAACTGAAAAAAGCAGAGAAGGGAAACAAGCAGCAGCAAAAAGTTCACAAATACATTACATCGTGTGAACATGTGATGGCTCCTGTTCACGATGCGGTGATCTCCTTGCACCTCCCAAAGGTCTGGGATGATATCAGTCCTCAGTTCTATGCTACATTCTGGTCACTGACAATGTATGACCTTGCGGTACCCCGTAGCAGCTATGAACGGGAAGTCAATAAACTGAAAGTTCAGATGAAAGCTATTGATGACAATCAGGAAATGGTATGTATTGCACCTCAGGCAGGTTTGAAAGCTTTAAAGAGTCCTTTACTTTCCATTTTTAAAAAATAAACCACTCCACCTAAAACTGTTGGTTGATCCAACACAATTGGCACAATTAGACAATCAGTTTATAAATCATCCCATGTTCTGCCATTGCTTTTAGTTACTTTGCTTCATTTCCAGTTAATAGAAAATGTTCTTTTCCCACTCCTGTGTAAACTTACCCAAGTACATCCCTGTATTTCTGAGGTCTGTATTCTTCACAGCTACCCACAACAGCAGAAATAGAATGGGTGGATACCAGAGACTCTTTGGCTGTTTTGTCCAGAATCTGAAATAGCCTTCTCAAATAATTTTTTGATGAGCAGTGAAGATGATTTTCTTGCAGCTGGCTTTCCTGGGATACATTTTTAATAAGCTCTGACTGTTCCTGCAGCTTGTATAATTTATTTATTTTATAATAGCTCTTGTTTTAATGACTGTAAACCTCTTTGATTATAATTTTTTAAATAGAAAGTTGGGACATGAATATTAAGAATGAATGAATAAAATGTCGCATTAGCTTTTTATGGAGTATTGAACTTCCTTACTAGCTCCTTTGCTAGCAGAGTAATGGCGGAGAGAAAAGATAGAATCAATGTGGGACGATTCATAAGCAGTGCAAATGTTGGGTACACTCTGCCAGCCCTGTTTATGCACAATTCATTTCCAATAAATTTTACACGGGAAAATTTCCCAGGGGAGTGTGCTGCTGTGGCTCATGACATAGGATCCTCAGCTTGCTTTTGTTGTTGGCTGATAGGTCCTTAAGCATATCCTCTTATGTCATGAACAATTATAAAGCCTCTTGCACTCAGTTGTTAGCATGCATTCCCTCCCAGCCCACCTTTGTAAAGAAAATGCTTTCAGCCTTGAAGAACCAGCTTTTCATAAGAGACCAATTCTTGAAGCCTTTAACAAGGTTAAACAATGCCCTGTAAGATGGCGTGGCTTGTGACAGATCTGAATGCAGTGTTCCTTTTTTGTAGCCTCCAAATAAAAAGAAAAAAGAGAAAGAGCGCTGTACAGCCCTTCAGGATAAGCTTCTTGAAGAGGAAAAAAAGCAGTCGGAACATGTGCAAAGGGTGCTGCAAAGGCTGAAGCTGGAAAAGGATAATTGGCTTCTTGCAAGTAAGCTGGGCGGAGCCCTTTCAGGGCTTTTGAGTCACAGTGGCTACTTAAAAGAACACTATCGATGTCTGACACTAGAAGCACTTTATACATGTTTTAATTTTACATCATTATGATTCACACATGTGTGCCTAAAAAAAAATTGTAGTAATTCCTTTCTCCAAACCTAAGCTCACAGTCTTTAGATGGCTATGTTTTTCCTGCTTTTGACCAGATTCAGATCAATATTGTAGTCAGTTCAGGATGTGCTTTTAATCATGGTCAGCTGCCATGAAATTGCATACGGCCTCCTGCAACACCTTCCCTTCCTATAGCAAAAACTCCTCATCCTGCATTAAAGTGGGGGAGGTGCACTCTTATCTCAGTTGTCTTAACCAACTTCAGTCTGCTTTCCTTAACTGTCTAACATTGGTGCTCATGTGTCTCTTACCTGTATTTAATGCCAGGCACTGACAGGAGATTTCCTCTGGAGAGCAGAGAGACTGGCAGGTTGGTGGGAGGCAGGTGATAGCTAACAGTTTCAAACGGAGTAAGCAATGCATTGGATAAAGACTATTATGACCCTTTATCCAGTACCCTAAAATACATGTTAGACTTTCTCTGTTCTGTTTTGTTTTTATTGGATAACCTTTGAGTCCAATAAAGGGATCTAAAATTAACATAAAATGGTAACCTTTTTGTTGTTATTTTATTAGAATCTACAAAAAATGAGACCATAACAAAATTTCTGCAGTTGTGTATATTTCCCCGGTGTATTTTTTCTGCCATTGATGCTGTTTACTGTGCCTGCTTTGTGGAATTGGTGCATCAACAGAAAACACCAAACTTTTCCACGCTTCTTTGCTATGACAGAGTAAGTTGCTCTGGGTTACGCTGGTACATGAATTTGTTCTATTCATTCTAGAAGCAATGGGGGATTCTTTCTGCCAAGGAAAGGCATTCAAGCTAAACAAATACTTTAACTGAAAGGTTATTCTATAATCAGTAGTTGGGTATTTTAGGCACACACTTAAGTAAACAAGGATAAAGCCTTGTTAGGATAGCTACTGTGAAAACGATTTGGAGAATATTGTATTTTGGCGGCAAAAGTGTAAAATTTATGGCCTGCTATCTTTAAAAGTGTTGGGAAATTGAGAAATGTGCACCGTGATGGAAGACTAATGAAAACAGGAGAAGTATTTTTCAACACCAGTTTAGGATTATACAGTTTAGACTAACATAAGGAGGGAAACATCAAATTGAAGGAGAGGATTTGGGTTTTATTTTTAAACTGATAAGAATATTTCTACTGTAAAAGTGACTATAAATCATTAGAAGTATTGAACAATGTTTTATGCTGTATATTTAGTGTGTGTACATAATTTAAAAGAAAATGTCTTTGCAGGTATTCTCTGACATAATCTATACAGTAGCAAGCTGTACTGAAAATGAAGCTAGTCGATACGGCAGGTTTCTGTGTTGTATGCTAAATACTGTAACTCAGTGGCATAGTGATAAAGTCACATATGAAAAGGTATGTAAAATAACATACATAGTCCCATTTAGGTGTTCAGTAACAAAGTAAATACTCAAAGAGAGGGAATGCTTTAATGCACAGAGGGGGAAACCCTTAATCTCTGATCAGCAGAATTTTTCCCTGCCGGGTGGAGGGGGTGGAACCAAGAGAGCAAGCTGCTGATGGAGTGCATTCTACTTCCTTATGAGCTTTGTCCAACTTAATTATGCAAACATGCAGGGGATTCTCTTGCTTATTTATGAGTAGAGGCTCTGTTCTTGGTTGCCTCTCAGCCGACATGCTTCCTGCAGTAAGTTTCAGCCACACACACTTGTGCCTGTGGCTCCACCCATATCGAGCACTTCTCCGAAATAGAGTCTGGCCATTGACATGAAAAAGGTTTCCCACCTCTTATCTCAAGACTGATCTTGCTTTTATTAAAATAAAATTATTTTTTCAATGATAGATCTTTGTAAGTTAGTGCATATATGATATATTTACCGGTTTCTTTCTAGAAGACATGACTTGTGGGTTGCAGCCCAAGAAATGCCTATAATTGTTGAAAAAACTTATGTTAAATATCAATGAAATCTTGATTTTCAGCAGTGCATGAGGCAGCTCCAGTATCTGTCTTTATTAGTATACTTGATCATAAGTCACTTTCTCCCTTACAAGCTTCTTGAATAAGAACAAAAGCTTTTCATCTGCATTGCAGGAATGTGGCAACTACCCCGGCTTCCTTACTATATTACGGGCAACCGGTTTTGATGGTGGGAACAAAGCTGACCAGTTAGATTATGAAAATTTTCGGCATGTGGTACACAAGTGGCATTATAAATTAACTAAGGTAACCTAAGATCACTGAAAAATTGGAATGGCTTTTCAGTGTGAATTTAAGGCGTTTAAACTGCACGTTTTCATGATTTTTCTAGGCATCTGTACACTGCCTCGAAACGGGTGAATACACGCACATCAGAAATATTCTGATTGTACTGACCAAAATCCTGCCATGGTATCCCAAAGTTGTGAACCTGGGCCAGGCCTTGGAAAGAAGAGTCCTTAAAATCTGCCAAGAAGAGAAAGAGAAGAGACCTGATCTATATGCTTTAGCGATGGGGTAACAAAACCTTACTTTAAAAACATGGCTAAGTGATGTACAAAAATTATTCCAAAGTCCCAAAAATAGATTTGCTTTGGTTTTTTATCAATTTGCCTGATCTTAGAAAACATTATTCAGCGACGAACCTGAGTGTTGCTTTGTGGGGGGGGGGCTTGTATTAAGATTCTTTTCAGAGACACTTTCCTGGGAGCTACCAGCCATGGCATTTAAAATGTTCAAATTTCATGGTTTCATTCTCATGTATAAATTACTAATTAATTTACCTTAAGCAATTTTACTGTACTGTTTGATCCAAAAAGGCTCCCAGAAGATCTGAAAACAATCATAAGACTGTTTCCCTGACCCCAGGTTCTGGCTTGTGATATAAACAGTGTGAAGCAAAAGGGAAAGGTGTAAGGAGAAAGACAGAGGAATAAAGCAAACTCCAGAACCTAGGCCCTAGTTACAAAGTTCCTGCCATGGCCAGCTGGAATAGAGGCAATTCAAGGCAGACATGGCGGGAAGACAAAATGTGCTTATTCCTTAGCAGAACTGATAGTGGTTTTGCTCACTCCACTTCCTTGCCTTGCCTTAACCAGATGGAATGGCTTGTGCCAGGTGATGCTGGGCAGAGAGAGGGTCCTAATAGGACTGGGCAGTGGCTCTTTTCCCTCTTCTACCTCACTTCATTCTGACATGATGGCTGCTGCCAGCTTATGTATTTCATTTTGCATGATATTCGAACAAAGACTAATTTCCCTTGTTTGTTCCAGAAAAACTCTCATGCCTGCAGTGTATTTTATTAATAGTACCAGTGTTTTCCTGATTATTCTTTCCAGACCAGGGAAAAAGAGGTTTTTGGTGGGAAGGGTTTTGAGGATCAAGGCCCCATAGAGATTAAGATCTTAACAAGTGATTTGAGGAGTTACGTGATTGTATGAAATCTCCTGCTTGCATTTTACTTGGGAAAGTCATAAACAAACTTGAATTGAAAACTAGCAATGTATCTTTCCAAGCAGCTCTCCAAGTTACTATCTTGCATTTCTGTTTGTTTTGTGTGTATTTAACACTTTGTGCGACTTTCAGCTATTCGGGACAGTTGAAAAATAGAAAACATTGCATGGTCCCTGAAAATGATTTCCACCACAAGGACCCACCCACCAGGAATGCAGTCCCTGCAGCAGTGCAGAATGGGCCGGGTGGGGCTGGGCTGCCTCCTTCGCTCACCATGAATGCAGCTAAACTGGAAGAAAGCACTGCTGAGGAGACCGGTATGGCGCACACACACACAAACATGGCCGCGGGAGGGGGGAGCACGTGGATTGTACTGCAGCTTTCATAATATGGAGGAACCCTGAGAACCAGCTCGCAGCACTGACTGTGTGAGCTGATTCCATTGAGATGAGGTCAATTAGCATCAACAAATGCTCATTTACATGTGCAGACCTTGTCCTGGTCTTTAATCTTGCAGTGTATATGTGAACCAGCTCTTAGGCTTTTGCAGTTCAGTATTAATGAGAAGGGAGTGCTGTGTACATGTGCTATACATTATGCATTGTGTGCATTTACAGTTGAACATGTTGGCTTTATGCTTTATCCTATACACACTGACCTGGAAGTAAGTCCCATTGAACTCAGGGGTACTTAATTCTAGGAAGCTACGCATAAGCTGTAAAGGTGCTTTATTTATATTTGTGCTATAAATATTCATAATAGTTCTTTCTGCACATAACTACAATCTGAATATATATTCTGAGGTTATTCTGAGTGGGACCTGCACTGTAATTTATTATTGTCATGTAGACTCTTCATCAGTCATTGCTTGTTAAATAAATGCAATTTACTGTATACTTAAATAGAATCTAATTGCTTTTGAAGTCTTTATATGCCGCTTTACTAATGTCATTATCTTTTTTTTCCTTTTGTATGTGGACAAACAGATAAATTAAAGGAGAAATCTCAGGGTGCTGTTAAAGTGATTAATAAAACTGCCAATGCAACACCAAAGGTGACTACAAGCAATGGAAACAACGCTTCTAACAGGTGAGCATGGAGCACTGTTCTTTTTTAGAATTAAATTTACATTATTGGGAAATGGCCCATTTGCCCATATGAGGATAAAGTCCTGAAGTTAGAAATGGGGATTGGTAGGGGGATGACAACAGACAGTTGTTCTTTTTTTTGGGGGGGGGGGGACCTTCAATTAAGTCAGTAAAAGATTTAGGAAAAGAGCACTATGTGTCACTAATTCAGGAATAGACTGATTCATAGCCCAATTAAGACTCGTGGAACAAGGATGAGAGTTATACTTTTTCAAAAAAAAACATCTATAAATCATTCACGATGCCATGATGTTAAGTTACAAGATAACAGGGCATTTTTTTCTCTTTTAATGATGGCAGTGAAATTGAATTTTCTGGAACTGCCTTTCTGCATAATATTTGCAGGCAGAACCTGGCATAGAACCAGCCACTAGCTCAAGAAACAGCCCTCCACAACACAAATGCTTTCATCAGCTGAGGGAACAGGATTGGGGATAGTGGTGTCTTGTCTTGGCAGAAGCCATTTATCTATTGCAATCACTGGAAATATTGCTATCCTGGATTGGAACAGGGAGCAGTGATTTGTCATGAGAGCCTCCTTTTGCCATTGGTAGTCCCCCTTTCTGCCAGAAGCACCAGCCCTTTCACAAAACAGTAGTTGCTGTTCCTTCGCTTAAATACAGAAAGCTTTTCTTATCGTTGCTTATTTCTTGGGGCGTAGTGAACTTAAAAAAAAACGGGATTTTACAATCTCAAAGGGGGTGGTTAGAAAGTCAAACTGTGGTTTGGTAAGTAATATTTAGTTCCTTTTATTTCATGCAGCAAAGTTATAAAAGAAAAAGAAGAAAAAGATAAATGTGGGAAGGAAAAAGAGAAAGACAAAAAAGAGAAGACACCAGCTGCCACTCCTGAGGCCAAAGCACTTGGAAAGGATGGGAAAGATAAACCAAAGGAAGAGCGGGCAAACAAAGAAGATAAACCAAGAGATACCAAGGAGAAGACACCTAAGTCTGACAAAGAGAAGGAAAAAACCAAGAGAGAAGAGAAATCATCTAAGGATGAAAAATCCAAGATTATTGTGACCAACGCAGAGTCAAAGTCCATTGCAGAAAAGGAGAAAGAAAAGGAACCATCCAGAGAGAGAGATGTAACCAAGGATATGAAATCCAAGGAAAACATTAGAGGAGGAGGCGGAGAGAAGACACCAGTTGCTGGGTCCTTGAAGTCACCTGTTCCCCGATCAGAAACATCAGATTCTGAAAGGGGTTGGTTTTACCTCCATTTGATATTTATTTTTTCTGTAGTAGCTGGGTGGAGGATGTTTTTTTTGTAATGAGAACAGCATGCTTGTTTACAGCTTAAGGTATTACTTGTCTTAAGGTACTACTTGTCTTCAGCATGTTGAGAGGCCAGCCAAGTATCTAAAGGGACTGTAGTGCTGATGACTTGACTCATACTGATTTTCATATTTTTATAATTAAGTTGATTCTCTCTCTCACTTTCAGAACAGAAACGCCGCAAAGTTGATACACATTCTTCTCCATCACATTCCTCAACAGTAAAGGTTAGTATAGCCTGAGGAAGGCAGCGCCCATGTTTAGGCTCTCGTGTTTGGAATGCCACTATCCGACTTCCTTCAAGTTTTGTGCCAAGTGGAGCCATTGGAGGTTTTATATTGCATTAGAAAATGCATTCCTTTTCTTGGTTGGTGGACTCTTTTTCATATTAAAAATAAATTTTAAAATATTTTTAAATTAGAAAATGAAATTAAAATCTTCAAGGACCTAGCACAAATGTAAATAGAGTTTGGAAGTGTCAAGAATTTTTTTTAACCAAAAAAGTGCCTCACTGTTTTTAAACAGTCAGATATATATATTTTTTGGAGTGCAGTGGTAGCTACAAGCAAACGAGTCTCTTGCAGCAAGCAGAGAGGAGCATATTTTTCTGCATTCATATTGAAGAATCTGTAGTGCTGAAGAGTTCCTGGAAGATTATGGGATACACGATACCTCTGAATTCGTTCACCTTGATGAGCATCATACCGCTGTGTGCCTTCCAAGGAGGAGCCTTGAAAAGGAGTTCCGTTTAAAAAAAATTCTCCTTGGTGATCAGCCCTCCTGTAGTTGTGTAAATTCAGTGAGCAGGCAGCTGCTGTTGCACCTTCCCTGCGAGGTTTGTTTATATTCCAGTGGGTTCCCACCCTGTTGAGCTCTGCGTTACGCTTAAACCAGATGTGGCAGCCAAAATCTTCCACCCAGCAAAGAGAAAACCCCCAGCAGCTGAGTGCAGCACAAAACCATGGCTGTAGCCTTCCTGAAGACTCAGGGTAGCAATTCCTTGCACCATGTTTATATTTTTATTTCTAAACCATCTAAGCTCATGGAATCTTTGAGTTTGCAGTACGTTGAAGCTTTGAAACTGTAAGTTACCAATCCTTTGTCAGAACAGTGGGATGGATGATGTGCGGGTGTCGCCGTTTTGCCAACATGTAAAAGAACGTTCTCTGTTGTGAGAGATTGGCTTAAGGCATAGAACATCTAGCTAGAAAAGTAACATTTTATTAATATTTGTGAGTAATAGTTGGCAATTGGCTTGTAATTCTGCTTTTGCTTGCTTGAGAGCAAGTCTCACTGCTATCAGAAGGACTTTGTTCTGTGCAAGTGTGTGGCAGAGACTGCAGTATTCATTAATAATCTGATATTGTATTTGCGTTTAAAAATACATTGCAATATTAAGGAACACCATCTACTCACTTAATGTTAAGTCAGAGAGAGAGAATTCTCCTGAGTTTATATAGCTGGGCTAGAAAAATCTTTTCGTAAAAAAAAAAAAAACCTAAAGTTTGTGACTTAGTGTGGGTTTTATGGGCCTTTTTTCATTTTTTGAGAACTATTAAGAAGCAGATTGTTTTGTAGCTAATTTCTTTTATGTGATTAGCATAGGTGTGTGCATACAACTGTTTTGCGAAGTATTAATACTGAATTTATTCCCAGAAGGAGTAGCTGTTTTTGTTTGAAAGGTGTGGCCCTGCGTTCCCACATTCCTGTGGTTTCTGAAAACTCTGCAAGCTCATGTCTCATCTCCGTTCATTTTCTGCAGGACAACATCAGTGAACTCAAGGACTCTTCAGCAAAGGTTTGAATCTTTCACTCACCCACAGCAAATAAAAACAGCACCTTTTGTACTTGCAGCCAATCACACAGAAAGGATTAATTGTGATACATTAGGAAAGCAGGAGGTATTATAGGTTGTATGTAAAGTGTGTGCTGGTAACAATTAGTTGCAGTGACAGAACGGTCTTTATTAATATGATATGTTGCTGAGTTTCAAATGCTTTTCTGTAGAATCCTGGGTTTCCCATGAACTTGAAGAGCAAAGATCAGTAATGGCAGATAAGCTTCCCAGAAAGTCATCTTCCCAACCACTGCTGATCTTGCTCTGCAGCCTGCACTTGCACTGGACGTTCCCTTGTTTGGAGTCACATTGTCAATTCAAACAGGAACGGTGGGGCTGGTCAGTCACCCACAGGAATTAATTGGCCTTTCCCCCTAGAAGAGGGTGGGGGAACCTGTGACTCTCATCATCTTCAAATGTTGTCTGGAGCTGTTTGAAGGTTGAACCCAAAAATATCTGGAGAGCCACATGTTGCCCACCCAATTTTGGTATGTGACTTGGAATTCTCTGCAGGGAGACATAGATTCCATGGCAGATGTCTAGGCATGCTTGAGTCATCCAGTTGAAAGAATTCCCTGAAAACCAGAAGTCTGAAAACCATCTACACAACCAGGGAGTCCCTAATTGCTTGCTTGTACTTTCCAAAGGTAAGCTGGCTAGCTGCTGTTTGGAAAAAAAAAACAAAAACAAAACCCTAGGCTACATGGACCTTTCATCTGATGTAATATATCATTGGACCTCTGAATGATAGTATCCTGTGGGTCAGTCCATTAAATTTTCCCCAATTACACTTAAGCTTCTGCAATATATTCATTGCATAGCTTTTGAAATACTGTTTTTGCACGAAGGAAGCGGCATTAGTTTGTGTTGCAAACACCTGTACATGCACATTTTCCCATGACCTTCCTCAGCTGCCGACTGTATATTTTTCTTTTATTTTCACTGGGTTCCATTTGGAAAACAACTGCCTCTAAAAGGAATGCAGCATTTATTCCTTTGTGCAAGCAAGCACTCCATCCACATGCACCAACTGAAATGGCTGCGCAGTCTTCAAGGGAGGCCCATCACAGGGCGGGTTTACAGCAGTCCAGAGTCTTCACAGAGACACAGTTCTGAATTAGAAAGCTAGGATTGCTGGTGGTCTAGCCTAAAATGGTGGACAGAGCTGGCTGATCCAGGAGCACCTAAAAGCCGAGCATACTGAACTTGGTGATAACCTTCTGCTCATCAAGAGTACTAGTGGGGCCCCACCTGTGTCCACTTCATAACTACAGCTAAACTCTGGGAAAATGCCAAGACAACAGGGGATCTGGATCTACTAGAAAGGAGTTAGGCATCATCATTATGCTGAGAGCATTGAACTCCAAATTATCTCATCATGCAGCTTCAGATTTACATACTGAAATGATTTGTGAAGTTTGCTGCTACAAGATGTGGCAAGAGCTTCTGGCTTAGAGGACTGAAAGGAGTTAGCTTCCTGGAGGAGGATAGACCTGTCAGTTGCTGTTCAGTCCCGATGGCTACATGGACACTTCATGCTCAGAGGCAACGTGCCACTGAAGGCCAGTTGCTGGGGAGCAGCAGCAGCAGGAGAGGTCTACTGCGTTGAATCCTGCCTGTAGGCCTCCCAGAAGCATCTAACCAGCCCCTGGGGGAAGCATGATGCTAGACCTTTGGTCTGATCCGGCAGGGCCGCTCTCAAATTCCCAAAAGCGTGGGGCATGAATGCACTGATTTCTCAATCGTGATGAGGTAATGCTGGGGCCACATTCATGGTTTCATTGGGCGAGGACAAAAGCAGTTTGGGCTGGTGATGAGGGAAGGGGTTTACAGGGGTTTTAAAGTATGTTCAAGAATAAATAGCAGAAATACTGTAATTGGTTGTATATCTTCCTAAAGAATACTCATATTTCTAGAAAATGGTGGGAGTGACAATGTACTCTCTGGGCAACTTCCGTGTGGAAGGGTACTTTGAATAAGGGGAAGAACAAGTTGAGGAAAATGTAACAGCCAGACTGAACAGATGTGGAAGATCCTTAACAAGACTGCTTAGTTAGTTTATTTTAATTAAATGCATTTGCAAGGAGGATGGATTTGGACTGCCTTGTTTCTAATTTCAGTTCTCCTTCCTTTGAAGCTGTTATTACCCCTCCAGTGCAAAACATGCTGGTACCTGGGCAATAGGGTAACTGCCCCTTTGGGTGTGTCTGTATACACCCTTCCCTAGCACTGTTGTGATCCTGATGGAATTTGTCTGCTCATACCCCTGTGACTGCTGCTGTCTTCTTTTAAAAAAAAGACAAGCCTGATCACAGTTTTTCCACATAATGTAAACTTTGGCTTTAGTTAACTCTCACACTGTGACTTGAGATTTTGTCCCTTCCCTCTATTAAAAACAATGTAAAAGTAATTTTAAATAAAGAACTAATTAATAGGCAATGATAAGGTCCATCATGATCTTCTATTCACTCAAAAAGATCTTCACTATTTTTTTTAAATTGCAAAACAAAAGTGTATATTTTACTGAAAAACTATTGAAGATTATTACATAAGCTATAGGGTTCTTTATCATTAAACCCTAGCTATTTTGAATAACTGCTAGTAATGAAGTGAAATGACAGTGTTCTGTTCCTTTTTGAAAGGAACGTTACAATTTTTTTGTAAAAAGCATATAAAATCTGAGCTGTTGGTTGTTTAAATTACAATAAACTTATGATCTGTTTAAAGACCACAAGTCAAAATTAGGTTGGCTGAACTCTATATTGGGAGCATATTTGCATACCAGTTTTGTCTGTCATCTTTGGGATCTTACTGAAAATCAGGATGCCTTTATAAAACATCTTCAGCACCTTCTATTTTGAGATGTCAAAAGTTTTCAAATTTGTATGCAAGGAATAGCTGAGGGAACCTCAGACCTGTAGAAATAAAATCTAAGGATTTGGGGGCAAGAGACAATTATTTTAATGAACCACCCCTTAGAGAGATGCATTGATCTTTGGTAATGTTGCCTTAATTTAACAGCACTACATTAACCACTCCACTCCAACCCTGTCCAAGAGTAAGGAGAGAGAAGAGGACAAGAAAGATTTGGACAAGTCAAGGGAGCGATCAAGAGAGAGAGAGAAGAAAGATGAAAAGGAAAGGAAAGATCGAAAAAGGGTTTGTGATTTTTATTTAGTAGTTTAAATCTGGACCACTTAAATTGTTGCTTTGAGCCTCACTAAAGAAAACCGTTAAGGAGAAAATCAGGCAGCAGGTTACTAAACCAGCGATGCAAGTAGGCAATTCAAAGAATGGAGCAGCTTTAATACTTCAGCTTCTTTAAGAATAATTGTTAAACTTTTATTGTATGTCTGTTAAATGTGTTAATGTTGTATCTAACCAGGATCATTCAAATAGTGACCGGGAAGTTCCCCAGGATTCAACCAAGCGTCGGAAAGAAGAAAACGGAACAAGTATGTTCTCGCCTGCTTTTTCTCATCCCAACAATGCTTTTGTGATGCCCACGTGTAATTTATGCTATTTTGGTTTTTGGTTTTGGTTTCCAGCTGGTTCTTCCAAACACAATAAGAGTGAAAGTCCTTCTGATTCTCCTCGGTCCAATGAGAAGGAAAAGGAAAAAAACAAATCAAAATCATCAAGCAAAGAAAAAGGAGATTCAATTAAAGTTGAAAAGATGGAAAAAAGTTCTTCTGGTAGCAAGAAGGTAAGATGGTCATCTTTGTCTTTTTATTGCAGGAAACCTATTTTTTCCTTGCTCAAGTTCTAGTTGGAAGTTTTGTATCACACTTCCCCCCAAACTATTCATGTTTAATATACAGGATTAGAATGAATAGCATCATAAGTATATTTGCAATGTATTTAATTTGTTTTCAAAATAGCCTGATCATTCACTGTTATGTCATTTTCCCTCTTGTTTGAATTCACTTTGTCTAGGAATCCAGGCATGATAAGGATAAAACAGATAAAAAAGAGAAACGGGACAGCACTGGGGGGAAAGAAGAAAAGAAACAATATCCTTTCACTAGTCTTGATGCACTATTATTTCCTAAGAAATATTTTTTTGAGAAACATTTCCCTTAATACGTGATCTACTCATAAATCTTCAGACAAGCACAGATAATGATCACTGTTCTGACCAAGGTAAGAATAATTGAGATTATCAAATATATAATATCCTTATCAGTTACTGAACAGAATGAACTTTTCATTGAAGGTAGACAAAGATGCTTGTGGAATTGCTCCTGCTGAGAGTTGTTGTAGCTTTGAAACAAGTCCTGTTCACCACAAGCAAAGAGGGACTCTTGTTACAGTCCTGTTCAAATCAGCATTGCTGCCATTAGGGGATCTGAGCAGGATAGATAGCACCCTCAAGGAGAATCCTGGGTGGGTTACAGGCAAGGATGCTTAAGAGCCAGAGAATCACTTCAATTTTCTACTACAGAACAAAAGCAGTTGCACAAAGAGGACCAGAAGCTTTCTGGAAATTAAAAGAAATGATACAGAATATTCCCTCCTTAGACTTCAGTCTAGTTGGTAGGAACCTTTGTTGAATTAAACTACTTGCCTGCTTGGATGAAAAAAATAAATTCCCTTGCCTGAAAACTTCATCAGGAGAGCTTTCTATTGAGAGGGAGATGTGCAGCATGGCATACCATCCCCTGGCAAGGATTTAATCTATTTCAACAGAGAAAAAACTTCAAGTAGGGCCCAACTCCAGTCTCCCAAAAAAAGTAGGAAGAAAATCAGGGCACAGCCAGAATGAACTTTGATGTCCGTACATCAATGGCCAGAGTATGGAAAACAACATGAACTTGAGCTCATAGTACATGAGAGCAATTACGATCTTATAGGAAGAACTGAAACTTGGTGGGATGACTTGTATGACTGGAACTCTGCTATTGATGGATACAACCTGTTTAAGAAAAATAGAAAGGACAAAACGGGAGGTGGGATTACTCTGTACGTGAGAGATACATATATCTGCACAGAAATGCAAGAAGAGGAACTTAGCCCCATTGGAAGCATCTGGCTAAATTGAAAGGGAGCAAAAAACAGGAAGAACATAGTTATTGGCATATATTACCATCCACTCAGTCAAAAAGAGGACAAGGATGTAACCTTCAGAAAGCAACTTGCCATCATATCCAGGAAGATAAAAAACATCAACCAGAATTGACAAGTACGGCAAAGTCAGCTGGTGCATCCCTGTAATGAGGCTTTAATAAATATTGTGAATTTATATTTAAATCCCAGATTGAAAATATCCTTTCAGAGTTCCTTTTTCCATAATCCAACTACCTTACATCAGGATGCTGATAATTTTACACCTTAATTATTTTGTAGTGAATGATGACAGACAATTCACACCAAGTACTTTATCCAATTATTGTTACCCAGTTTTGTATCATATAATCATTTTCAAAGCTGACCACAACTCCTTCTCTTTCTAACGTTGACCTTATGGCATCTTTAATTTTCAGTTTGTGCCGTGTCTCACTGAGTGCCCATTTGGGCACAGATACTGCAGTGCAGTATCGCGCCATTGCAAGTGAGCCTGGCAAAACCCTCTCTTGCTTACCTGGTACGATAGGATGCACAGGGGCATACTTGTAAAATCCAGCTTGGGCTAAGTTGACTTTGATACCACATTTAGTGATGCTCAGCTTAGGAATTTTGATGATCTACGTATCAGTATATTCAGGCTATTATGGTTGCTTCTAATTGTGGTTCTTGATTTCTTTCAGTTCTCTGTCCTTTAGGAAACGCATGTAATTGTCCTGATGTTTTTTCTTTTAGGCAAGGTTGAAATGGGAAGATATTGAGCTGTGACCAGAAATAGAAATGTCTTTTCCAGAACACAGATTGCACAGAAAATTGTGAATGAAGAGGACCCATCTGCATCTCCTTAAATTATTCAGTTCTCTGCTTTATTTCCCGCTCATTGCTGAAGATTTGATTGTTGAGTTGTACATTACTGTATTTTTAACTTGTTGCTTAGTTTCTTAAAGCATTTATTTTCAGTACCTGGCTGAAAGTGTTACATGTTCCATATTTTTAGCACAATGTGCTGCAAACAGTTGCCATTGCGCAAATGAAGTTTTCATGTGTACAGAGTTCCACATTAGATTATCAAAATACTGCCTGAGTTTAGTAATCCTTTTCAATTGGAATTGCATTATTTTAGGTGTTTGAAAACCAACCAATAAACAGTTATTGAACCTTTGGAATTTACCTCATTTAAAATCCAGTTTTTATTTATTGTTTTAATATCAATAACTAAAACCAAGTGGGAGCACTGTTTTCACACAATGCTTAGGAATTATTTGTATATTATGTGCAAAACATTGACCTGTTAAAAAAGAAAAAAACCCCTTCCCTACTACACTTGTCCCGTTCCTCATTACACCTTATGTTTGTCATAATGTTTTTAGAGAAATTGGGAAATGCTTTCTTCCAAACAGAAATAAAAAAAATTAGGTTTCAATATGACAGCTACAGGAGCTTTGTATCGCTGGACTTTAGTCGAAAATGTTTCACAACGACATTTTTAAAAGAGCAAAACAAATTTTTTTATCTGATGAATTCTACCAGTGTAACCTTTTTTCTAAATAAACAATAGTTTTCTCAATGGGTCGTAAATCATTGTGTGTGTTGCTTATTCAGGTGGTTTTACATGCTGAAATGCCCTCTTTGACCTGTAGATTAGTTCTCAGTTCCTTAAGCACTGAAGAAAATTAATTCCATTAATTCCAACCCCTCTATTTTATGTATTTCAAATCATTTTAGAATCATGGGAAATAGGTGCCAGGGCTTGCTCTATTATTCCCATTTTTACCCTATACACTAGCTAGTTTAATGAAAATAAGAGATAAAATTGAGCAAGCATTACGTTTCCCCTCAACAAGTGGATGAATACTGCATAGAGAGAAAGAAATAGAAATGCTGATCAGTCAGCATGTGTTGGTGCCTGTGGTGATGATGGGGAAGAGGTGGGCAAGGAGCCGATGTGCCTGCAGGAATAGATGTTCACAATATCCTGCAGTGCTTTATGAGGATTGGGTCAGTTTGCATTATTTACTCTGGAAGTCAAAATACGGGGAATGTTCATGTAGTGGCAGAAGGGCTTTCACAGAAAGTATGTTCACCTAGGCAGCACACTATTTAGGAATGCAGGCTTTCAGGGTAGGCCATCAAGAAGTTTGGAAAAATTATGTCACTTTGCTTGGCTGATACGTGAAAGGATCTGAACTGGTCGGGAGAGAATAGTTCTGGGTTACTTGTCCTGAGCTTAAAGCATTCGGTCCATTTGTTTGTTTGCTTAATAAATTGAAACAGAATAATATATAAAAACCGTTACTTAAAAGCACCAATGCACAGACACAATCAGACTATCCTTGTTTGGTGCATTCTACATGTGTGTTTTTAATCCCTCAGAGGGCCTTTGAGACTTGCTGAAATCAATTTAGTTGTGCACAGCAAGATGGTTCTTTATTGACCCAGTCTGGAAATAAAATTACAGACTACCTAACGAAAGCCACCTTTCTGGAAATCAGATCTCTCTCAAGCTAATTTGTAATGATTTCTGTGACTGAGCTAGAGAATATGCAATACATTAAAGGCTTCATTTTCTTGTCCTATAAACGTTTTTTTTAATGTAGGAAATACAGATGCCTTAAATACAGAAGCTTTGAACAGCTAAAGGGAGTACAGTGTTCAATGTACAGCCCAGTGGCTGTAAGAACACCACCTGTGAGTGTACCTTTGCTGATGATTTTAGAGGGTTTGGGATTGACTTGTTGGCTAAAAGAGAAGTCTGCACGATTAGGAAGGTCATAGTGAAAAGGCTTTTATAAGTAGCTTGGCTCTTTCAAAGCCTAAGCACCTTGGTTCCAAGCTCAGAAAAAGTATTCTCAGCATTTTTACTGCCTTCCTAGCATCAAGTTGAAAGGAGAGGGATGTTCAAGGGGAAAAATAATTTCCTCTCATTCAAACAAGCTGAACTATCTTGATTA